AAAGTCGACCTTCGTAACTATACCAAAAAAATTAAATGCAAAAAGATGCGAAGACTACAGAATAATTAGCCTAATGAGCCACTTACTTAAAACGTTTTTAAAAGATATACATAACAGAATATATAAACAATGTGAAAAACAAGTTTCATGGACATAATTTGGATTCCGCAATCCTAAGGCCTGAAATCAGGAGAGGAATTAGGCAGGGATATATTATGTCCCCATTACTATTTAATGTATTTAATGAAGCCAGTTTTGAAGAAGCATTACTATTTTAAAGTGAAGGAATAATAATTACAGGAAGATATATTAACAACATAAGATATGCAGATGACACCATCATTATGGCAAACTCTGCTGAACAACTCCAATTACTGCTAAACAAATCAAACAGTCTCTATGAAAAATCGTCATCATATAACGGGGGTCCTACGGCGATTGCCGCTTCCCGCATTTCAGCCTCCATCTTTTCCTATCTCTCCAATCTCCCTCTTCTAAGCCTCTAGATTGCATTGTTTTTGTAATTTCTCTTCTCCAGGAATTTGGTGGTCTTCCCCTTTTCCTTCTTTCTGGCGGAACATACATTAAGGCTTTCTTTGGCCACCGCTCCTCCTCCATTCTCATCACGTGACCATACCATTGTAATTGCCTTCCTTGTATTCTATCTGAAAGAGTCTCTATAATTCCTGTACGGTTTCGTATTTCCTCATTCCTGATTCTTTCTATTTTCGATACTCGACATGACCTTCTAAGATAATCCATTTCTACAACGTCTACTTTATCTCGTTCATTCTTTGTCATCGTCCAACATTCGGCACCATATATGGTAATCGGTTCTACAATTGCTCTGTATACACGAAGTTTGGTATGCATCTTTATTTTATTAGACCACAGTAATGAATTCAGTATTCGGATGCATTTTTTCCCTTGGTTTATTCGGTTTTGTACATCTATCTTAACTCTGCCATCTGCAGATATGATGCTTCCTAGATATTTATACTGGTTGTAACCTTTTATGACTGCATTTTCAAGCCTCAGATCTGTGGTATTTCCTCAAATTTTTAAATATTCTGTTTTGCTTATGTTTACAGTATGCCCCCATTTGGCATATTCCTCAAATAATTTTCGATTCATATAATTTATATCTTCCTCATCGGTTACAACCACTACCTGATCATCTGCAAACCACAATGTATACAGAGTTTCTTGTCCCACTTCGATGCCCATAAATCTACATTTATTTCTTCAATTCCTCAATGCTTCTTGGACGTATATTTTAAAGAGTGTCGGTGACGAACAGCATCCTTGCTTTAGGCCTTTAGTGACTTTACATTTGAAGTTCTGGTTTCAATTTTTACACAACTAACTGCATTTTCGTACAATTTATATATCGCTCGGATATACGTCGAATCCAATCCGGACCTTTCGAGGACCTCAAACATATTCTTTAACGGGACACTATCATATGCTTTTTCAAGGTCTATAAATACCAAATGGGTCTCTCTACTTCTTTCGACACGCTTTTCAATTATTTGTCGTAGGATAAATATATTATCAAGGCAGGATCTCCCGGTACGAAAGCCGCTTTGTTCTTCAATATTTTGTATCTGTCTTTCAACCCTCTTCTTTAATATTCTGCCGTACAACCGGCCCACAGAGCTCGCCACACTAATACCGCTATAATTAGAACAGTCTCTTTTATTCCCTCTCTTATATATGGAGCTTATATAAGATTTATTCCAATCTTTAGGAATTTCCTGGTCTCCACACATACATTTATTAAAAAGGTCTACTATTAATTCTAAAAGTGCAGTCGGCCCATATTTAACCAGCTCTATGAGAATGTCTCCAGGCCCTGCAGCTTTTCCGTTTTTAACCTCTTTTAAGGTTTCCGTCAATTCAGATAATGTTATTATAGGGATTTCCTGTCTTTCGTCTCTGTTATCTATTAATTCCCTTATCTTGTCCCATCTGTACTCTACTCTATCCTCTTTCAGCAGTTTCGTTATCCTCAACTGCTGCTCTGTGAAAAATATGGACTAAAAATGAATATAAAGAAGACCAAATGCATGATAATAACAAAGAAAACAAATACTATACGAACAAACATACATTTGGGAAATGTACTGATAGAAAGGGTTGATAAATACAAATACTTAGGAACCTGGATTTCAGACAATAATGATCAAACAACCGAAATAAGAGCTGTCATATCAGTAGGTTATGATTACGGTCACGGGGCTCTAGGCACAATGTATGGAGACTCGTCAGTTGTCACTACTTGTCAACATGATTGTTAGAATAGGGCTTTTTGGATATTGTGGATTCTTGCAGAGTTTATTAAAAAAGTATGTTTAAATAAATGTATTAAACACAATGAAGTATTATTACTAGAGCCAGGATAGAAATAGCAAGAAATGCGTTTGTAAAAATGAAAACAATTATCTGCAACAAAGACCTTAAATTAGAACTGAGAGTAAGAGCACTGAGATGCTACGTGTTTTCGATACTGCAGTATGGACTTGAAAGCTGGACATTGAAGCAAGAACCCATAAACAAGTTACAGCCCTTTGAAATGTGGTATTACAAGAGGATGCTTAGAATAGCATGGACACAGAAGAAAACTAACACGGAAGTATTACGAGAAATGGGCAAAGAATGCGAAATAATAAACACAATAAAAATAAGAAAGTTACAATATCTGGGACACGTAATGAGGGGACAACGATATGAACTGCTAAGGCTGATAACACAGCAAGAGGTAAGAGGAGGAAGGAGTATAGCAAGAAGGAAAGTGTCATGGTTGAAGAATTTAAAAGACTGGTTTAAATGCAGTTCTATAGAACTCTTCAGTGCTTATCCAGAGGTACAGGGATGTCAACTGTAATGTATATTTGAAATGAGGTTGAATGCTCGAATAAATGAACTTTGAAAATAAGGCTATTATCGAGCACAAGTTAATTAAATCTAGCCCAAGTCATCATCATCATTAGCCATTTTGCGTCCACTGCTGAACATAGGCCTCCCGTAAATAATTCCATTGCATCCGATCTTGAGCAACTTGAATCCAGTTAGACTAGATGCGCTTTAAATCGTCCGACCACCTTGTTGGAGGACGTCCTCGACTACGATAAGCATCGTGTCTAGGCCTCCACTCTAAAATTTTCTTTGTCCATCTTCCATCTCTGACCCTAGCAACATGTCCTGCCCAGTTCCATTTCAGGGTTGTAATTCTTTCAACTGCGTCCGTCACACCAGTTTTTCTCCTTACTATCTGACTCGAAACTCTGTCCCTGAGTGATACGCCCAACATTGACCTCTCCATCGCTCTCTGTGCCACTTGTATCTTATTAAGATACTAGCCCAAGTACTTTCGCTTAAAATAGCATCTTCAGGGACATTTCGTCAAAATGTAAACTATCCGGCAAGCGTAGAATGTGGAAACATTAATAGTGACATAAAATTGTACAAAACACTAAACTAAAACGAGGACTAACAGTTTAAAATTACTTAAAGATTCTACGCTACATTCTCTGTCAGTATCTGGAGGGATACAAATGTAATGTATATATTTGTTTTATCTACTACAAAAAGGCATTTGATAGAGTAAACTATGACAAGCTTATGGGAAGCTGGTTTGGATGACAGATACTTGCGAATGATATATAATCTATATTACAACCAAACTGCCAACATTAAAGTGGATGACCAAATCACACAAACAATCTACATAGATAAATAAGTGAGACAAGGAAGCATTCTGTCTCCAGTGATATTTAACATGTATTTGGAGCGTATCTTCGAGCAGGCACTGGGAAAACTACAAGAAGGCGTCTTCGAACGAACGAACAAAACAAAGTACATGGTTGTTAGTAAGCGCGAAATATTAAATACACATTAATTACTATTTAACTGGGAATAAGCCACAATTAAAGATAAAAATACGTTTATTGACATTTCAATTTCCACTTCGGAAATCGTTCTCAAAATACAAACAGTATTTTAACAAATAACAATTTTTTTTATTATTCCCAGTTAAATAGTAATTAATTTAACATGCCACAAGAAAATAGCTTCAGAACAATATTAAATACACATCTTTTGATAAACCAACAGCCAATTGACAGGGTAAACAGGTACACATATCTTGGTACTAATATAAACAGTAAATGGGACCACTCTACTGAAATGAAATAACGCATAGGGAAAGCAAGATCAGTATTCGTAAAGATGAAGTCACGATATACCACTTGGTACCAAAATCTCTCTATCATCAGATGCTATGTATTTTCTACATTATTATACGGACTAGAGGCATGGACGCTCTCTGAAGTTTCTTTAGGAAAGCCTTCGAGATGTGGTGTTACAGGCACATCTTACAAATTGCATGGGTGGATCATGTGACAAATATTGAGGACCTATGTAGAATGGACAAGGAATGTGAGATCACTAACACAATCAAAGTGCGCAAATTAGAATATCTTGTCCATGTTATGAGAAATGAACACAGATATAGCTTCTTGCAACTCATTCTTCAGGGCAAGGTATTTGAAAAGAGAGGACCAGGGAGAAGAAGAATATATTGGCTTCAAAACCTAAGGAAGTGGTTCAATACGTCTACAACCGGACTATTCCGAATAGCTGCAAGTAAAGTTAGGATAGCTATGCTGATCGTCAACATCCGGAACGGATAGGCAACGTAAGAAGAAGAATATTTATTTGTATCCTGGTTAAAGAACTCTAGAAACTGCAAAAATAATGATAAACATCTGAAACAAGCAATAAAATCTTTGAGAAACGTTATTTTAAGAAACTTAACAGGAAGATGAAGAAAGCAAATAAATTTAAAGCAAAAAACAATGCATAAATAAAAATTTAAACAAAGATAATGTTAACTTCGAAGTTGAAGACACCTATGACACTGTAAGTTCCAAATAATTGTTGTAAAGGTATTTTTAAAAACAACTCGTTTAAAAGATACCTAATTTTTTTCTACTTACTCTTTAGTTTTCGGATAAGTTTTTACATCAGCTGTTTCCACTTCATACGTGGCCGTGCCGATGGATTTCGAAATAATCCCCGATCGCCTCTTTTCATCGATTTCATCATCGTATCTGTCTTCGTTTAACACACTCGTACCTCGTTTCACCCTACAGAACAACATATTTTCCCTGCATGCACTGTTTGTTGTATTATCACTGTTTTCACGAAACTATAAACGCTCAAAATATCGCTATAAATATTTTCTAGAAATTATTTGGTGTCGAGCCTTTGATAGAGCTCACTTGTTTTATATTAAAATTAATAAAATTGATAAAATTGAAATATTATCAATATTGTTTATCAGATAAGTAGTATGTTATGTATTTTGATCAAGAGGATTCTTTGTTAGAATAGAAAATGAATTCTTTAAGCGAGATCGTTATAAGGATTTTTGATAATCGCTTTTTTTATTGTTTTGTTTTAATCTAATAAAAACTGTAGATTGATAATACATAGAACCCAATAGCGTATGATTTTTTTTTATTATTTTATTGATTTAATATTTTATTTTTATTTGATCTTCACTAGCTAGCATTCTTATATCTAGATAGGTTAATTCTATTATGTATACACAATATCTGGAAAAGCACTTGGCCCCGATGAAGTAAGTGCTGAAATACTAAAGTTTTTGGGAGAAAATGGAATTAAAGCTCTGTGTAATCTCTTTAACAGAATTTATGACACTGGGATATTACCAACTGATTGGTTAAAGTCAACATTTGTCACAATACCTAAGATACATCGTCCAAAGACATGCGGTGATTATCGGACAATAAGTCTGATGAGTCACGTTTTGAAGATCTTCCTACGAGTAATACACAGTGGGTGTGGTTACACTTCGAGTGGTTTGGGTACAAGAAAAGCCTTGTTTAGTATACAGGTGCTAGTACAGAGATGCAGAGATAAAAATCAAAATGTGTACATTTGTGCAATCGATTTTGAAAAAGCTTTTGACAAAGTCGGACATAACAAAATGCTAGAAATATTGGAAACAGCTGGATTGGACGATAAAGATCTACAAATAATTACAAATCTAATAGGTAAAGAAATAATAATAAGACTTACTCACAATCAATTTAATTTTAATTTAACAATCTGACGACCGGTTTCGCTTTCTACAATTTGCAAAGCATCTTCAGGTCTAGAAGTTGCAAATTGTAGAAAGCGAAACCGGTCGTCAGATTGTTAAATTAAATTGATTGTGAGTAAGTCTTATTATTATTTCTTTACCTATTTGATATGGACTCACACAAGCAACACATTCATAATTACAAATCTATACTGGCATCAACTGGCAATAATAAAGATTTAACAAGAACTGTCGGATGAAATAATTATAAAAAGAGTAGTGAGACAAGGCTGTATATTGTCGCCTTTACTTTTTAACTTATATTCGGAGGAAATATTTAAGGAAGCCTTAATGAAGACAACCGAAGGTATTATTGTGAATGGAGTAACCGTCAACAATATTAGATATGCCGTCGATACCTTAGTCCTTGCCAATTGCGGAGAAGACCTTCAAAATCTAATGAACAAAATAAAACAGACTTGTGATCAGTATGGATTAAAACTCAACGTTAAGAAAACTAAATATATGATAGTTTGCAAACAAAATTATATACAGTATGACGTTATAAAAGTTGGAGATGTCACACTGGACAGAGTAAAAACTCGTGTATCTCGGCAGTAATATCAATGAGAGCTGGGATCCAACCGCAGAAATTAAAAGCCGAATAGAACAAGCCCGAGCTGCCTTTGTAAAAATGAGAAACGTACTTTGCAGTCACGATCTTAGCATTGACCTTAGAGTTCGTATGACATCTTGCTACATCTTTCCTGTCCTGCTGTATGGAGTGGAAGCGTGGACTCTAACTGAGGCTATGCTTAAACGCTTGACAGCCTTTGAGATGTGGTTATACAGACGACTACTGAAAATAAGCTGGGTCGACAGAGTTAGAAATGAGGAGGTCCTTAGACGGCTGAGCCAAACAACACAACTGGTCAATAAACGAAAGAAATTTTTTGTTTGCTATATGCTTGGTTAGAAATGACAGAGTCGATGATTAGTTGTTCTTTGCAACCCATGGAACCCTTAGTACACCCTTTCTGTTAAGGCTCTATGATATTGTTTAGAGCAACGTGTTTATACAGCGTTATAAGGCAAGTAATTGGTTGATACTTGGTTGGATCTTGGATTGTTATTAAGTTGTTCCCTGGGTTAGGAAATGGTATCTTAACTATATAACTAATAACTAATATATTGTTATATAACTATTATTATTATCCAGATTTATCCATACGGGTCACACTCCCTCTTAAATGAAAGTTCACTCATCCCAGATACCTACGGTATCAAAAGGATTGAGCTCTGATGGGACTCTTTCCGTGTTATCGAGCCCTAGGTAACTTGGTGTGTGTTGGAGAATCTCCCAAATTTTCGTACAGATCTGGATTTTGCGAGGAGTACAGTTTTCTGCATTATTATTATCCCAGATTTAGCCATACGGCTCACACTCCCTCTAAGAGAAAAATTCACTCATCCCAGATACCTACGGTATCAAAAGGATTGAGCTCTGGTGGGACTCTTTCCATGTTATCGAGCCCTAGGTGACTTGGTATGTTGGAGTATCTCCCAAAAATTTTCGTACACATCTGGACGTCGCGAGGAGTACAGCTTTCTGCATGGCCTTATAAAGATGTTCATTTAGACCCAGCTGTTTTCTGTTCGCTAGGAGGTTTTTGGGAATAACACCAGTAGTAGATAGAACAATAGGTAGTGTCTGGGTACTTTCCATTCTCCACTGTCTCCTGATTTGCATTTCTAGATCTCTGTACTTGGCGATCTTTTCATTGTATTTAACACCTAAATTATTGGTGTTGGGTATTGCCACATCAATAAGTGTTGTTTGTCTAGTAAGTTTATTAACTAGTATGAGATCCGGTCTATTATGGGCCACTGGTTGGTCTGTAAGCATAGTGCGGTCCCAGTATAGCTTGTAGTTGTCATTTTCAAGCATTCTATCAGGGGCGTATTGATAATAAGGAAGATGGTCGGTTTGGAGAGGTCCCAGTTTGTCAGCTAGTTCTTGGTGGATTATCTTTTCTACTGAGTCCGGGGTCCGGACCAATTATAAACCATCCAATTATACCGGGTATAATTGGATGGTTTCTTGGGCTTGGCATCCATATCGGCATTTGTCATTTTGGACTTGAGGATCTTTAACAATATATTTCAGGTAATTTTTAGTTGGAATGACCTGATCCTGAATGGCAAGTAGGAAACCCTCAGTCTGGGGAAACATCTTCCCTGATGTCAACCAATAGTGCGACGCTGTATTGTCGACATATTCTTGGTTGATCTCATTGAGATGTCGCCCATGCAGAGGTTTACTCATCCAGGTGCGCATTTTTTCTTGCTGAGTCAATTATTATTCTTATTATATATATATATATATATATATATATATATATATATATATATATATATATATATATATATATATATATATATACATATATATATATATATATATATATATATGTATATATATATATATATATATATATATATATATATATAATGAAATTAATGTCGTATCCTATGTCGTAAATCAGATTTACTTTATCGATTTGTTTTTACTTTCTATCTAAAGCAATATACCTAACCTAGGTACTTATTTAATATCAATAATATTGACATTTGATAAGTATTACATTCAAGATATTTATTAGTTTTAATCATTTCGTAATACCTAGTGTAAAATTGATTTGTAAATGAATGTAAAAAAATTAAACTATTAAGTGTATTTCTTTGAGTGTTGTTGTTTATTATATATTTACAAAAACTGATTATTTTGTGTATATTAGTATATATTCAAAGAGTTTCTTTCTTTTGGAAATTTTCAAAATCTACAGCTACATTTCTTGTCTGAAAGCTACATTTCTCGTTTTATGGGGAAGCCCAGAGCATCGAGCAAAAAGACAAAAGAGGGAATGTAAAGGTAGTGGGGGCAAACATATTAGACAGGAAGTGCGATCTTTAGAGGCCACATTAAACAAGGAAAGAAAGTCTCTCTCCTTGTTTGACATCAAATTTAGTTGGGTTATGTTATTGTTTGTCCCAAATGTCACATGAAATCCTATTTATATTGAAGTTTTTTAACAATTGTGTCGCATTTTAGACTATTGTCATTAATAATTAATTAAAACTTTCTCGTCTAAGACACATTCTGAAAAATATTATATAGTTGCTGTTGATAAGTGTCGGAAAATTTAAATTTGGCGCATTCGCATTTCCGGATATGTCCGCCATCAGAGGCCACTTTTTTGGTCTCCTTTTCATAAGGATTCAGTGATATGTAAGAGAGATTCAGTGATATGTCTCTTACATATCTCTGTAAGAATTAGATTCCAACTTTTGTCTTATTGCTCGATGGCTCAGAGACACAGAATAATAAACAATCAGAATGCCCACTCTAAGATGCCGCCTTTGACGTTTGTCAGCACGTCAGCCATCGAGCAAAAAGATAAAAGAGGGAATCTAATCGTTATGAAAAGGAGACCAAAAAAGTGGCCTCTGATGGCGGACATATCCGGAAATGCAAAGGCGCTAAATTTAAATTTTCCAACACTTATTAACAATAGCTATAAAATATTTTTCAGACGAGAAAGTTTTAATTAAATATTAACTATAATAGTCTAAAAAGTGACACAATTGGTAAAAGATTTCAATATAAATAAAATTTCATGTGACAGTTGGGACAAACAATAACATAACCTAACTAAATTTGACTTCTTAAACAAGGAAAGAGACTGTCTATCCTTGTCTAAAGTGGCCTCTCAAGATGGCACTTCCTGTCTATCAATATGTTTACCCCCACTACCTTTACATTCCCTCTTTTGTCTTATTGCTCGATGACGTCAGCACGCGAACGCCATGTTTTAGACGGAAACATAGACTATAATTGAGAAATTTGTGACAAGCTACGACAGAACTGTAATTTAAATTTTTAGAGATTAATAATTCAGTACATTTGAAATAATTTAATCTATTCTTCGACTAAAAGTACGAATAAAATAGTGCATATTATGTCTGTAGTTGTCGTAAATAAATTAAACCAGGTTAATTTGTCTATGCACACCAGATAATATGTCACTGAACAGCACTGGTTCCGTTTAAAACATGGTTGATTCCGTCTGCGCGTATTTTTTTTTAAGCATTCTGATTGTTTATTATTCTGTGCCACCAGGGCATCAGGGTAAGAGTGGCAAACTTTGTTGCATCTTTTTGGGGTCCCAAAATTTACAATCACAGAAAAATTCAGCTTGTTCTTATTATTTTTAGAGGTTCAGTGAAATTTTCGTCTCTGATGACTAGACTATTAAGAAATATTAAAATATTTATATATAATTAAAATAGAGTTTATACAATAGATCACAAAAATATGAATTTATACATTCAAACTTTAAATTTAAAGGTGCCGCCGATAGAATCGCTACGTTTAATATCGTCAGACTGCGCATGCAAACGTCAATTTAAAATTTGAATCTTGCAGGTTATGTCAACGGTTGGTTTTTGTATTTAAGAAAAAATAAACACTTCTTTTTAGAATAATGAACGACACAGTTGAACTCCTTAGTTCTATGTCACCTAAAATACGAAATAAACTAAAACCAGGTGAAAAACAATTCAGAAGAGGTAAGTATTTTAATATATAATCTATACAACCCCTAAGTATTGTTGATTATAATATGGTTTTTTAGTTCATGGTGTTTCAATTTTGGCTTTAAAGAAAAATATTCGACGAAGTTCTTTGTACGAAAAATCAAATCCTATAATGAGTAATCAAAATTTCTATCTAGTAGAACGTAGAAGCAGTTCAGAATCCTTTGAAGAAATTGAAAAGACAACATTTGATGACACAGGTACAGATTCAGTAAATTGTACACAAATCATATAAATTTCACGAATGTTCTATTTATTATAATGTTTCACACAGCTGACAAATTGTACACTATCCTACACTATCCATATGACATATTGTAAATCATAAAATATTTGTTGTATAATCTTTTTATTTGTCTGCTTTTTAGGTAGGAGTATAAAATTGATATCATTTGAGGATAATTTTTGCATTCTTGTGTATCTTACGGAATATGATAATGTTTATTAAGTAATTGACATACAGCTAATATATACTAATAAAAAAATATTTTTACACATTTACAACAAACATTTTATTCAGGCCAAAGTATAAATAGTAATGCAATCAACAACTAATACTATATTATTAAATCAAATGGTAGTCTATACATGTGTTGCTGCATTTTGTTCTAAATAACTTAAACCCATAGAACCCATAGTTCCATAGTAAAAATCGGATGGCTTTGAAATAAATCATGACTGATATTTGTCTACAAAGAAATTAGCCTGTGCTATCTGTTTAATGTCTTGTAATAAATATTGTGGTATAAACTTTTGTTCATTTTTATATAGATCTCAAAAGTTTCACATTTTTCATCAGTTTTACATAAAGCATGTGATTAAAATATTTCAAATACTACTGTAATAATTCTCATTTTCCTCATCCTCATTTTATTGTATCTTTACAATTGATGTTGAAAAATTAAAATATTTAGGATTCATACTCTCAAAAAATGTAACCACTGAGCAAGAGATAACCAGCAGATTAGCACAGATAAGAACATACATTAAACAAATGAACGGGGTACTGTGGGATAGACAGATTACCAGAAATACAAAGAAGAGACTTTATAACACCTTGGTACGCAGTATAATGACCTATGGGGCAGAGAATTGGGTAATAAATAAATGAAACAGGTCCAAAATCACAGCAACTGAAATGGAGTTCATGAGAAGAAGCTGCAGAGTGACAGAAATATATCGCATCAGAAATGAGGAGATAAAATGAAAAATGTTAGTAGAACAAGACTTACTCAGCTATATTGAAGAAAAACATTTAATTTGGTATGGACATGTCAGAAGAACAGATCATACAAGGTGGATAGCGAAGATTTCAGATCGGAACCCAATAGGAAGGAGGAAAAGAGGTAGATCCCGAAAATCATAGAGGGATGAAGTGGATGAGGCCATGGAAAGACGAGACCTTAGAGATGGAGAATGGCAGAACAGAAAGGACTGGAGACATTGGCTGCAAGAAGGAAGGCGGCAACAGCTGTAAAAATCCTTATATATATATATATATATATATATATATATATATATATATATATATATATATATATATATATATATATATATATATATAGATAGATAGACAATGAATGTGTTTTTAACTATATTTCCCCATTTTTTTTACGTGCTATTACTTTTCCTCAATTTTCTATTTTTAATTCACGTATGTCTTCTGTATCCCATTTGTGATAGATAGCTGTATCCTTTATCTCTCTCTCTCTCTCTCTCTCTCTCTATCCCTCTCTCTCTCTCTCTATCCCTCTCTCTCTCTCCAACTCTTTGGTGATATTTTTTTTGATTCCATAATGTACCTTCTCAATGTCTTTGAAGTTTAGAGGAAAGACTTAGATGCAATTGTAGATAATATACCCAGAATATATAGAATTATATTTATCTTTTATTCCACTACTGGCTATCTGAATGTTCTGCCATTAAGGATTCTTTAACCAGTATATTTGTAACTGTAGAAGCCACCTGGTTGGTGAGTGCATCTCCATCAGTCCATTTTTAAAATAATTAGATACACCACAGATATATACTGCCACAGATATATTTATTCCCAGCATCTGTTTCAGGGAATTGTCCTGCAACCTGCATTATCAATGGTTACTCCCCATTCATATTCACTTTTTTCTGCATCTTTCATTGTTGTTAGTAAATAATGTGAGGAATTGTCAGTATCATGTGCATAAGCCAAAAAAACTTTTAATTTGGTGTTTATCTTTTGATGTTGATTATTGTGACCATTACTGGACACGATATGGATTAAGTATATGTGAATCATTCTTCTTCTTCTTCTTTTGGCATCATAACCTGGATGGGTCTTTGCCTGTCTGGCTATGTCCTTCCATTCAGATCTCTCTTGTTCCCTTCCGCACAAGATGCACAACTATGCAATGTGAATCATTTCATAAGCCAAAAGGTATAACTGTAAATTGTCAAAGAGCTGATCCTGTCAAGAATGTGATTTTCTCTTGATCATCATTTCCTATTAGCAAATATCTACTTTTTAAGTTGAGGATAAAAAATCTCACTCATACAATGGCTTAACATAAAAGAGAATTTACAAAGAACATTAGAACTGTTGTCTGTCTTCTAATGAACATAAACGTGTGATAATTTGTAGGAGGGTTTGTCATTGTCATTGTTAAATTTTAGGTTCCAAACAGGAGGAACCAGTGAAAAATCCCCCCAAATCATCCAGCACTGATGACGACTCTATTGTAGTAATTTCTGACAGTGCTTCAGAATCTGCATCTGATGAAGAATTAAAAGATGATGTCAAATGTTTGGAATTGGGAGATATTAAGACTGAAGGTGCCTATGAGCTCCCCCAAGAAAAAATACAAGCCATATCAAACTGGCTTGAACAAGTAAATATAAGAAACGATAAAAGTAGCTCTACTGTATATACTGAACTGTCAACTATAAATGGTAGTAACTCAATTACATCATGTATGAATTTCATAGCTAAAACAGAATATCATGCAGTCAATTCTACATTTTCACACGGATGTAATAAAAAGTTTGATGAGATGTTTGCAAGGAAGGATAAAGTAAAGGTATGTATGACCATAACATTTTGTTCATTAAAGTTTCTATGCCGAGAAAAAATCCAACTAATAAATTATTAAATGCTTTAGAAAAAAAAAACAAAGTTTTATAAATAAAACTTGTTATATTAAAGATTTTATCTATCTATCTAATTAGCCTTCTTTGGTCCATCTTTGGACATAGGCCTCCTCAATCCTTTCCCATTCTTCTCTGTCTGTCGCTACAGTCATCCACCTAGAGCCCACATGCTTCTTGATATCATCTGCCCATCTAATTTGGGGCCTTCCTCTGCTTCGTTTATATTCCCAGTCTCCAACTTATAAGAATTTTGTTCCATCAGTCTTCTTTTTGTCTTATATTGTGTCCAGCAAATCTCCATTTCAATTTTGCAACTTCTTGTCTAACATCCCTCACTTTTGTTTTCTCTCTTATCCACACGTTTCTCTTTTAATCCATTAGTCTTATGTGCAACATTTGTCTTTCCATTGCTCTTTGGGTTTTTATGATTTTGTCCATGTTTGCTTTTGTAAATGTCCACGTTTGGGAACCATAAGTAAGAACAGGGAGTATGCATTGATTGCATACTTTGGTCTTAAGATGATATGGATATCTTTTGTTTTTAAGAATGTAGCTTAGTTTGCCAAATGCCGCCCATGCCAGTCTAACTCGTCTCTTTATCTCTGTTGTTTGGTTCTCTTTGTTAAGTTTTATAGTTTGACCAAGATAGATATAATCCTGAACTTGTTCTATTTCATCTTGTCCGATTCTCATTGTGATGTCTTCATCTGTATTTGTTATGGTTTTGGTCTTGCTGTAATTCATATTAAGGCCTATCTTTACAGCTTCTACGTCCAGTTCTTTCATCGTTTCAATTAATACTTATTTTTTATCAGTTATCAGTACAATATCATCAGCGTACCTTAGATGTTTCAAGCGTTGTCCACAAATTTTTATACCTTTTTCTTCCTATTCTAATATTTTAAAAGTATCTGCAAGAGCCTCATTGAAAGGTTTCGGTGATATTGTATCGCCCTGTCTCATGCCTCTATTTATATGTATTGATTTTGTTCCTTCATATACTTTAATTGTTGTTTTGGCTTCCTTATATATATTATCTATTAGTACCGTATATCTATGGTCAATTCTGCTGTTAATCAAAGAACTTTTCACTGCCCAATGTTCGACTCTGTCGAAAGCCTTTTCGAAATCTATGAACGCCATATATAGAGGAATGTGGTATTCATTTGCTCGTTCTTTTTATTTTATATAAAGATTTTATAATAAAGTACTAATGTACTAAGTACTATAATACTGCACTCACCGGCACGAAAAACGGAGCACTTGCATTTTTAAAATAAAATATTACAATTTTAATTCTCTTTAAACTTTTATTATTATAATAACGTAAACACAAACGAAACAAACTGTTTAAAGTAATTTCTAATAAAAATTAAGTGTTTATCCAAAAAAAAAAATGCATAAAAAATCAGAAATAAAGAATACACTATTCTTATCATTTTTAAAATTTCAAAGTAAACTGTGAAGTCGACTCAAGTGTCCGACACACTTTGAAGTTGAATTGCGTTGATTTAATCTCAAGAATTATGGTCGTAAATCCTGAAACAGCGGCTGCTATTGTTGCGTTGCTTCAAGACGGAAGAAGTGAGCGAAGCCAGACGTTTGCCAGAAACCATGCTCATTTTACTGTAAATAATTGGAGGCATGTTTTATTTACTGATGAGTTCAGGTTTACCTTGCGGTCTCCAGATGGCCGTGAGAGGGTAAAGCGATGACCACATGAGCGTTTTGCAGAATGTACCTTCAGTTCTAGGGTAGACTATCAAGGGGGCTCAATTATGGTATGGACTGGAATTTCTCTAGAGGCACGTACAGAATTGTACATCGTTCCGAGAGATTCCATAACAGCTGCCAGGTACATTGATGAAATTCTCCAAGATTTTGTTGTGCCTTAAGCTGGTTTTGTTGGAAATGACTTTGTTCTGATGCATGATAATGCCAAGCCTCACAGTTCGAGAATCACTCAACAGTTTTTAAATGAAGTAAACATTGACAACAAATTAGAGCGAGAAGTTGAAACGAGAATAATGGCAGGAAATAGATCTTTCTTTGCAATGCAACATCTGATGAAGTCGAAACTCTTTCACGATGTGTAAAGATCTGGATATATAAGACCATAATACGGACCATAATACCATAATAACAGTCGCGTATGAAAGCGAAACATGGACAATAACAAAATGAGAAGTAAATAAATTGCTGGTATGGGAATGTAAAATTCTTCGAATGATATATGGCCCTTGCAGAGACAGCGTGACAAACGAATGGAGGGGCAGATACAATAACGAGCTAGAGTCTCTATTCGCCTATTCGGAAAAGAAAATCTAGTCAGATATATAAAGGCCAATAGACTCAGATGGGCAGGACATGTGATACGCAGTAACGACAAGCGCCTTATAAACAATGTGTTCTGGGAAAGGCCAGATGGAAGAAGGTCTGTAGGGCGGCCTAGAAAAAGGTGGAAAGATGCAGTCAGAGAATATCTAGAGAAGATGGGAGTGCGACAATGGTAATTACTGGCACAGGACCGACAAACGTGGAAGGCAATAGTAAACGCGGCAAAGACTCACGAAGAGTTGTAGCGCCATTGATGATGATGATGAAACATTCCTGTAATGGATTGGTCAGCATTGAGTCCGACGCAAACCCAATCGAACATGTTTGGGACATGCTTAGGCGAAGGATACGAAATCGTGTTCCTGTGCCTTTAACCTTAAATCAGTTACCAGAAGCCCTTTTAGAGGTATGCGAATTTATTCCTCAACAGGACATTTCTCATTTGATTTTAGGCATGCCAAGAAGAATTCAAACAATAATTCGAGCACCTGGAGGAAACATTCATTATTACAATCAGTTTGTCCGGGCACATGCTTTAAGTTTTTATTAATTGAGCGTCATTTTGTTACAATACTTATGTGTTTTTTCTTAATTTTTAAATTGTTATCTACTGAAACAGTTCTTTGTTCAAAAGTTAAATTTTTATTATAAATTACTTCAAATAATGTGTTTAGTTTGTGTTTACGTTATTATAATAATAAAAGTTTAAAGAAAATTAAATTTTTAAGTTTTTATTTTAAAAATGCAAGTGCTCCGTTTTTCGTGGCGGTGAGTGTAAGTATTATGTGATTTGTTTTTATTATTAAAATTTTAAAGATACATGGATTGATATAATCTCTTAAATCTGATTAATCAGCGTTAATTTTTAATTAGATATTTTTTTAAAAGTATACTGTGTGATCTTTTATTCCACCTTTGTCGACTTTATAGATTTTATGACTGGAGAACATAATTCGTGAGATTTGTCTCTCAAAAATGTAGAATGACATTTAATTCTGTTAAAATTTAAATTGTTGTCAGTGGCAGTGGGTAACATAACCTAAAAACAGAAATTTTTCCTAAAAATAATAACAAAGAATATAGACGCATATAATAAGTAGCGTTATTTTTATCTGTAAAAGAAATATTTGAAGAAACAGATAATCGAAAATGTGTTAGGACATCAGATATACAATAAATATTTTATAAATGTAAAAAGTCAAAGGACAAGAATATGAGTTTTTTTCCTAAACTGTTCCCTGTTAAATAATAAGAAAAATGGTGATTCCAACACCTCTTTGTCACAAGCATAGTAAATTTCAACAGCTGTTTCGAGCCATTGAAGACTTAAAGAAAGAGAAAATACCAATTTTTAATGTGTGTGTAAATTATTCTGACAATGATAATATATCATGTGGTTTTCTGAAGAGAGACAATAAATTACTTGTTTTTGGTGAAAACAATACTTTACATATAATGTGTTTAGATAGCTATGGAAAGACATATAATAGTTCAACATTTAGACATCATTCTGCTCAAATTTATAGTGTAGATATATCTCAAGACAATATTACGCTTGTATCAGGTTCTGCAGATAGAGCTGTATGCATATATGATCTAAACAGTAAACTTTTAATCAAAAAGTGTACAGGCCATCTAGGATCTGTTATCTGTGTTAAAATTAGTGAATGTTGCAGATTTGTAGCTAGTGGAAGTAAAGATAGTACAGTAAGACTTTGGCAGTTAGATAATGGAAAGCTATTAAGAATATTCTGTAATTCTAAAGGCAGTGTCACAAGTGTGTCATTCCACCCCAACACTAAATACTTAGTAGCAGGTTCTGAGGATGGTAAAATTTATTTATGGTGTCTAACGAAAGCAATTTGTATATGTGTGCTGAGCACAGGTATTACATCAATTTTTAACTTGTCTTTTAGTCCTTGCGGTAAAATATTAGTTGGTGCAAGTGGAAAAAGTATCATGATGTGGCATTTAGTTACTTCTAAAGTTGTGGCTGAACTAACATTGAAAAATTCCAATATTGTAAGACTTGTTTGGAACAGAGAGGGCAGTGAAATTGGTGCTGCAAGTTTAGATGGGACAGTTGCCATATGGAATGTATCTAGTATTTACAAAAATTTGAATAATTCTCTAGTGATAAAACCTGCTGTGATTCATACTACTACTTCAAAAATTTTGAGTATAGACTTTGCATTTGGTACATATGGTATTTTAAGAACATAAACTGTGGAAAACACGAAGTTGTATAAATTGTGATCATTTTTTATTAATTTTTGTATATACAATAAAAATATGTATTGATTTTTTTATACTGACTACGTTTTTTTTTATTGATATCAAATATAAAATATTTCATAAAGTTCAGTCATGTTTGGACATAACACAAAGTATTAATAGAATACCATAAAGGATTAACAAAATACAAACAAATAATGTTAGAGTGATACCATTGGCATTTCAGCTTAAATAGTTGTTGAAATAATTATCCTATTAATAAACATGATCTGCATGCAGCTTTCAGCCAGTTGTGGGTTGTAATCTTGCAGTGTACATCATTTTTCTATTAAAAAAAGCTATTTTTATATTCCATCGCCTTAAAGTGTTGACCTGCAAGTCCACATTTTAGGCAAAATGAGTTTTTACCATCTTTATAATAGTATTAATTTAGTCTATTAATTAGTTTGATGTAATGTAATGTAAACAGTAATGTCACATTTTTATCCAAAACCTAAAATATTGTATGATGTGAATACCAGCTAACTCAGATTGCTCTGATTTTTCCTGTGTAAACACAGCTAAGTCACTCTGTCACTAACACTTTGCACCAGTATTAGTTTTTCCTACTGTTTATAATTATTTGAGCGATTTATTGAAGGTAAGTGTAGATGTGTATTAAATTATTCATTTTTGTAAAGTTTAGTTGTAAAATGTGTTAATAGTTTCACAATAAATCTTTTTTGTTTCTATTAAGGGACTTAGCAGTATTTCTGTGCTGATATTGTTATACAAACCAGCATTTAGCAGCTTTTCATTGATTAAAAAACACAAAAAGAGTCAAACTAAGTAATCATTTTAGGGAAGTTTTAATTATTTTTACTGTTGGACTAATGTTTAATAGAAAAAATACTTGTAATCATTTTTAGAGTTGATTCATAAAATAAATACTGTTTTAAATTCATCAGTTCCTGATTTGTTTAATGTTTATATTAGTTAATGGCTCTCACACTTCACTGAAATGTGATAGGCTGAATTGGGTGTTGAATTTTTGAATGGGGACATTGATAAAAAAAATTGTTGTTTAGTATTCGCTCCGTGCGACTGACGCGACACCTACCGCCTTCATCTGACAATTTTGGAGTCCCAATTTTCAGGTTAAACATATGACATATGTTTTACATTGTTAAATACACGCGAAATTGACAATTATTAATAAATTAGTTTTTAACTATATTTTTTAAGTTTATGTTCAAAATAAATGTAGTATTAAAAACTTAGTTTCTCAAAATTCATCATAATATATCTTTTCAACTCCAAACGGAAAAGAAAGGGAAAAATCTAGTACTGGCAAATCAAGTTGCAAATGTGTATCGAAAGAAAGAGGTCTTATGAAATGTTCTTTGATCAGTGAACATGAAAGGCAACATATTTTTGAGTCATTTTGGCAAATGTCTTGGGGAGAATAAAAGGATTTTATTAATAATCAGGTTAAATCTGTAACGACTAAAAGACATACCAAGTCAACCAATGGAGTGCTACCTTTCAAAGATCGCCGTAAATGATTGCTGCAATTTTTAGATTCTTTACCAGTTATGGAGTCACATTATTGCAGGTCAACATCTCAAAAAAATATCTTTTGGCTGAATGGCAGTCTCGGCAAAGTGTTTACGAATTGTATGTTAACGATTGGTGCAAATCGAGGAAAGAAGAGCCCTTTCGATAGGATCGTTTTCTAAAACCTTCGGTGAGAAAAACTTTGCTTCTTTCCTCCGTAAAAAAGATGACTATAGGGTTGGACAACTTTCGGAAGAAGAATTTAAAAGTCACATACAGAGGAAAGTAAAAGCAAGAGAAGAAAAAGATAAAAATAAGAAACAAAATGTTTTCACAGCAGATTTGCAAGCCGTATTGTTGGCACCAAAATCTCCACAATATACTACAAAACAAATCTCCAAGTACACAATCTCTGTTTCTATAACTTAATTAATTCCGATACCTATTGTTATATATGGAACGAATGTGAAGGGGCGGTCTTGGTTCTATGGAATTTAAAAGTATTTTGAAAATTTTTCACAGAACAGAAAATTTTACCCAGGGTCCCTTATTCTGTAGAAGGGACGGATGAAAGAAGCACCATTATAATGTAGGTATTCGGATGGTTGTGGGTATCAAAATAGAAACGCTGTTATGGCCAATGTTCTGTTGAATCTAGCAATCACTCATAATGTAATAATAGAGCAAAAATATCTTTAACTTGGCCATACACAAATGGAAGTTGATTCGGTTCATGCAACCATCGAACAAAAACTCGAAAGATAGTCATTAACCTACCAGTGAATTACATACCTATCTGTCTCAAAGCAAGAAAAAAGCACCAAGTAAAATATTTAACACATGATTTTTTCAAAAATCTTGATTCAATTCAGTGCTATAAAACAATTAGACCAGGAAGAGCTAAAGGTGATTTAAAAGTTACAGATATTAGTGCTTTGAGGTATACACCCGAAGGTCAAATTTATTATAAAGCCAGCTTTGCTGATCAATGGTAACCAATCTCTCAACGTAAGAACAACAAAATTAATTCACATTCATGGGACCAATTGAAGCGACTATACCTAGAAAGACGTAAAATAACCGCCAAAAAATATGAAGACATTGTCGGTAGACTACCACAAATTTTATGAAGATCTTTCCTATGAGTAGCGTTATTATTGTTTTTATTTTTTTTGTACTTGGAATAAAAGTTTCGTTGCATATAGAATACGCGTGTTTGATTGCATTAAACTGCTAAGTCCATTGTTAGCCCAATTTGAAAAACTATAACCAGCTATCCCCAAAAAATACTAAAAACTAAAATTATTAGTATAATTTTTTATCATTTCAATGATACAAAAATTATTATACTAATTTTAAGCACTACTTTATTGTTTTCCATTCATTTTTACAAAAATAAATGCTGCAAAATTCTCCTGTAAATTTGGTAAAATGGATTTAGCAGGTTAACACTTTAATTAAGGCGACGATTTGTCAGATTGGTATTGGTCCAAGTAAATATAGACATTCAAATATACGTAACTTTTCAGAAACAATGAATTTAACTTTATGTAGCAACAAGACATTTACTTAACACATACAACATTAAATGGTTAGAAACAAAAGATAAGTTGAGATTGCTATGTACCCCTACGATCATGAAAAACAATATTATTATTCCTAATATTTAATATATTATGTTCTTCTTCAAGTGCCATACTCGTCCAAGGTGTGTACCTTTATCTGCAATTTTTATTTTATATATAATTACCACATATTTTATTCAGGTTGACGAAACTGCAAGCATTATATCAGATGATGTTGTGAACGATTCTTTGAAGAATGTAATTATAGAGGATTCATTTGAGATAGTCAATGTTAGTTTGAAAACTCGTTTAAAAACAGAAAAAGAGTGTGGATTAGAGAATGAAACAAATAATGAAGAAAAAGTGGAAAATGAATCTACTAAAAAGGAAAATAAAGAAATATCAGACCAAGTGATGGAAAATGATTTTGTAGTAATAAATAATGAACAACACAAAGACAATTCTGATGATTTATCACATAAATCAGGTAAATATTTCATATATTTATTTCATGTTTTTATTTGATAAATGGTTTAGATTAATAAAAATGGCTTTTTCTGAATGTTGTCCTTTAAATCTTGTTTTACTTCAACATTTTATTCTCGTCCAAGTATTTACTTATTTACTTATTTTCCTAAAAGTAAATTAAAAGTTGGATTAGTATCTTTCATCGAGGTTTACATGAACTTCTTTACATATTGAAAGGTACATCTACGATCTTGTGGTGATATGAAACCAGCTGAATGTTACAATAGGGTAGAAAATCGATTTCATGTTTCATATCATGCAGGCATATTCTGCTTGAGAAACATAAGGCCTCGGCTGTTAACTTTAAGACCAGTTGATTTCCACCCCATTTACTTTCTACACGTTTCTGGAGAAGATTGATTCTTGCAGCAACCGTTTTTCTTGTACTCTGACAGTGGTATTTATAAATGTTAGTGAGCAGTATTCGATGTTCTGAACATCGAACAATATCTTTAAGGAGCCACCTACTAAAGATATTTCTAAAAATCATCCACAACCGAGTTTATCAAAAGTTGGAGTCAGATATTAGTAATACACAGATGGGGTTCAGAAAAGGGCTTGGTGCTCGAGAAGCTCTCTTCGGTTTGAATGTTCTCACACAAAGATGCCTAGACGTTAATCAGGAGGTACATACGTGTTTTATCGATTTTGAAAAAGCGTTTGACAGAGTACGCCATGATAAGCTTAGAGAGATTCTTGAAAGGAAGGACATAGATAATAAAGATCTGCGAATAATTCTCAATCTATATTGGAATCAGAAAGCTAACATCAAAATAGAAACTGAAACATCACAAGCAATAGAAATACGTAGAGGAGTACGACAGGGTTGCATTTTGTCACCTCTGTTATTTAATGTATATAGTGAAAGCATCTGTCAGGAAGCCCTTTTACAAGCAAACGGAGGAATCGTAATTAATGGAGAGATTGTAACTAATATTCGATACGCGGACGACACTGTACTAGTTGCAAGAACAGTAGAAGAATTACAAAGATTACTTACAGACATAAATATTGCTTGCAACAATTATGGTATAAATCCTCCTCAATCCTTTAGCCCTTGTCAGGGCGTAGTGACACCCTAAATATTATTAGTCTGCTGTCTCCATTGACTGCGATCTTGTGCCATATGGACGGCTTCATGTAGGGATTTTCCCACCAAACTCTTCATTTGGTCCACCCATCGTATTGGAGATCTTCCTCTTGGTCTTCGGCCTTCTACCTTACCTTCTACTACCAATAGTTCCATGGTGCCCGTTCTTCTAGCTATGTGGCCGAAGTAAGTTAGGTATGCTTGGTTTACTTTTTTTAGTAGCCTGTCTTTTATATGAAGCTCTTCCAGAATTGACAGGTTGGTTCTATGTTCTGTCCAGGACACGCGTAGAATTCTTCTATATACCCACATTTCGAAGGCTTCGATCTTACTCCTATCAATTTTTTTGAGAGTCCATGTTTCAGCTGCATATGTAGCAATGGGAAAAATAAGGGCATTGACCAACCTAAGCTTAGTATTCCTTGTTATTGTTCGGTCTTTCCATATTTTAATTAATTTAGCAGTTGCGGTTCGGGCCATTCCTAGTCTACGTTTGATTTCTGAGGAACAATCACCATTGTTGGTTATCAGAGAGCCCAAGTATACAAATCTGTCGACTACTTCGAAAATCCCTATTTGGCGTATATGCGGTAGATTATTATTTGCTCTGTCTACAATCATTATTTTTGTTTTTCTGGTGTTGATTTGAAGTCCGAATTCTTCACTTATTCGGCTTAGCCGTTCGATGATGGTAATCATTTCGACTTCATTCGCTGCTGGTATAAGTGTGTCATCTGCGTATCGCAGGTTACTGATTTTTCTGCCTCCTATAGTGATTCCTCCATCCCATTCATCTAGTACTTTTCTCATTATATATTCAGAATATATTTTGTACAATAATGGTGATAGTATGCAACCTTGTCTAGTTCCTTTCTCTGTTTTGAATGCATTTGAATATATTCCATGTACTTTAACTTTGGCTGAGTTTTTATTATACAGATTTCTTATTAGGTTAACTAGGTGGTTAGGTACTCCCATATTTTCCATTATACTCCAGAGAGGATCCCATTTTACTGAATCAAAAGCCTTTGTGTAATCTACAAAACAGAGCAACATTGGTATGTTATGTTCTCTCGCTTTTTCTACTATCTGTCTGGTGTTGAGTATTTGCTCACGCGTTCCCTTTCCTGGTACAAATCCAATGGTATAAATATCAATATTAAAAAAACCAAGTATATGGTCTTCAGTAAAAACATGACACAACCAGCGTATATTAGTATAAACGGCACTCAAGTTGAAAAAGTATCAAGTTACAAATACTTGGGAACTTTAATAAACGAAACTGGAGACCAAAACAGTGAAATAAAAAGACGTATCAAAATTGCCAGGGCACCTTCATAAAGATGAGAAAATTCTTCTGCAGCAGAAATATAAGCATCCCTCTACGATTAAGAATGCTGAGAGGCTATGTATTCAACACGCTATTATACGGTGTAGAGGCCTGCACTCTCAAACAGAACAACATGAAAAATATTGAAAGTTTCGAGATGTGGTGCTACCGTCGAATGCTGAAGATTAGTTGGGTTGAAAGAATAACAAACTGTGAAGTAATACGAAGAATAGGAAAAGACCCAGAGATTTTGTTAACGCTAAAGCGAAGAAAACTCGAATATTTTGGTCACCTGATGAGAGGACATAAATACGCATTACTTCAAAATATAATGCAGGGAAAAATAGAAGGAAAACGGAATCCAGGCCGTAGAAAAATGTCATGGTTGCGGAATTTGAGAGAGTGGTTTGGCTGCACCACTAATGAACTCTTTAGGTCAGCCGTAAACAAGGTCAGAATAGCCTTGATGATTTCCAATCTCCGATAGGAGTGGCACAAAAAGAAGAAGAAGTGAGCAGTGTAATATGACTCCAAGATAGGTCTATCAGTATATTCCAAGTGCTGTCCCTTCCTGGATATGTTCAGTTTTACATACGCAAGATGATTGTTGAGATATAATGCACGCACTTGGGTTTTAGCGTGTACACACACAGCAGCTAGTATAGTTGTAAGTACGGGCTATGTCTACCAGTTTACCCAGAACCATCAGAATGAGGCTTAGGGAGATATGTGGCTTATCAGCGGAACAAGTACCAGTCATAACACCTGGAACTCAAGGTCGCTGTGCTGTTTGTCATTGGCGGAGAAATAGAAAAACAAAATATTACTGCCAAATATGCACAAAATATCTGTGTTTGGAACATGTTACATCATTGTGTAATTCATGTTATGAAAATTTTAATTAATATTTTTTTTTGCAATTACTCTTCATTTTTGATTTTTTTGTGTATTAAATTAATTTCTTAAAGATCCTAGTAAATAATAAATTTAACAATATTCAATGTATTTTTTTAATTCTTAAAGTTTTTTGTATATATAAATGGATAACAATGAAAATTAGTTAACTTTTCATTAAGCTAATATAATGTTGAAACAAACGCATATCTACAAAATTATATGATCATATATTCATTAAATAATATAATTGTACACAATTTTCAAAAAAAGAAAATATTACCGACCCCATTTTTTCGGACCCGGTCTTCTGCACCGTGCGCGAGTATTCGATCACAGAAAATTGGCGCGAGTAATGGAAGGTTAATACCCTTAAGTCAGTATCAACTGCATCTAATCGCTTAATTCAAGATCAGTCTCTGCTTCCACTTCCTACAGGTTTTAACTTTTCAATTGTCTTGTTTGGCATTCATGTTATGTGGCATTCTTTGGTATTTAGAATACCTATTTCAGTCTCTCGTTCTCTTCCTGTTATGTCCTTCAATTTCCTGTATGTTGTAGTTTATGTTTGAAACATTTTTAGGTAGTCCGTTAATGCATGAAAAAAATGCTGCAAAAATACTGGACGAACTCTATGGCACGTCGTGGAGGGTCAACAAAGATTTGGTTTTATCTAAAACAGAACCAAGAAAAAAAATTAAGAAACCTAGTCTCAAAACTGCAGTTGTGGCTTCAGAGAGGTAAGTATCGATTTTAACTTTCTATAGAAAATTGTAGTGGTCTATAAGCTAAATAAAATAGATTGTCCCACATGTGAAACCAATTCATTATTTCTTTAATTTGTTTTTAGTAAACCTAAAACTTCACTTTTCTACAAAAACCCATACTTGGATTCGGAAAAATCCAAGTCACAGAAACTTCTCAGCAATCTAAATCAATCTAGGATAAAAGAAACGGCAAAGTCGCCGTGGTTGAACCGGTTCAAGGTATTGTGTGATTCTGATACAAATTCAGAAAACTCCCCTGCTCCCCTCCGTCCAATACATCTCCAATTTGACGACTCTAGCGATGAAGAAACTTCAAAATACTTCAAAAACAACACAAAATCGAAAAAAAGCTTATCGGATAAAGAAAATAAAGCTGGAGGAAACAATAAGAAGAAAACCGATAGTTCAAGCAATTCCGACGAAAATACGCGCACAAATAAAGCAAAAGCTTTAAAAAATAATACGGAGAAATCTCAAAGCAGTAGTGGGACCAGTTCTTTTGAAAACGTTCAATTTGTGACTACGAGGAAACATGTTAACAATAGTACAAATAAAGAAATTAGAGGAGACATCAATTTTACATCAAATATTCTAACTTCAGACGAAGATTTGCCCGAAAACATAAAACCAAAAGTAGGCGGTAAAGTGAAACCAGCAGTGAGGAAAAAACAACAAATCATTAGTAGCAGTAGTAGTACTAGTGACGACAGTGATATAATAAAAACGAAGACTGACAAGAAGACTGGTAAAAAAGTAACACCAAATATAGAAGAAAGTAGTAGTAGTATATCCAGTGACAAAGAATGGGAGCTGGAGGTTAGCAAAATACAACGAAAAGTTAAGACAAAAGACGAACCTTATAGTTTTTTGGCTTCGTTATCAGGTATGTACTTTTTGACTTTGATAATATTCTACTCAACTAGAAAACACTTTTTTATCTTCTTCTTTGAGTACCGTGCCCAAGTTTTAGGCGTGGGTAGCTTCCATGACGATTTACCGATATCGTTCTCGATCTTGCGCGGCATGTAATAATTCATCTGCTGATAAGCCAGTCCATTGATGAAGGTTTCGGAGCCGTGAGTATTTCTTTCTTCTACCAATTCCTCTTCTTCCGTCGATCTTTCCGTTGAGTATCAACTGCATTATCCTGTATCTGCTTCCTCTCATTATATGCCCCAGATATTAGAGTTTTCTCTTTTTTATCATCTGTATTAAGTCACCTTCACCTTGACCTACTGTGTTCAAGACTTCTCTGTTTGAAATGTGTTGAACCCATGATATTCTGAGGATTCTACGATATAACCAATTCTCGAAGGCTTCTAATTTGTTCATCATGTTAACCTTCATAATCCAGGTTTCACATCCATACAGTAATAAACATTTTAGGAACTTAATTCTCAGCTGTAAGTTCAGCTGAGAATTAAGAGAGCTTAAAAAATATTCTTAACAAGCTGATTTCAACGAACTATATCATGTAGGGTCTATACTGAATACTACAAGGTGAAATTTTGAAATTAATAATTGTCATGAATAGGTAAAAACTGTCTAGATAGTCTGCTAATTAAACTAAATCGGTAAATAATACGAATTGTTACCAATCAGTTGTTGGTGTGTTGATATTTTACATTAAAATAATAAATTCCTAATTAAAAGCTAATTTCTTGCAGAAATAAAAATGAAATATTTAACTGAGACCCACCGAATTGAGATTTTAATGATAGGTTACGGGGAGAATATGTAGAAGTCAAGTTGAAGTAGCAAACTTATTTAATCAGAGATATCCTCAGTTGCCTAATATTTTACAATGTAGTGTCTAAAATTTATGCACAATTCAGAGAACTTGGACATGTCAAACCATTAAAAAAACCGAACTTCATTGAAGATGAGGTGAAAGTGGATATTTTGTTAAGTGTCGCAGAGAATCCAACGTCAAGTTCACGTCAAATTTCACGTCAAAATAATGTGAGTCACACAATTGTCCTAAGGTGTCTCCATGAAGAAAAACTTTATCCTTATAAATTGACTTTTGTGCAGGAGCTAACAGAAGACGATCCAGATCGTAGAATTGATTTCTGCGGAAGAATGATGGATAAAATTAACATAAATGAAATAGCTTTTGACACAATTCTTTTTTTTTTTTTTGAGAATCAACATTTACACTGAACGGAGAGGTAAACCGACAAAGTAAACCGTCAGCGGAGAATCTCCATTGGATGCGTGAGACACACACTCAGTATTCTCAAAAGCTGAATGTTTGGGCAGGTATTACAGGAGATCATATTATTGGTCCTATATTTATAGATGGTAATTTGACAGCGGAAAAATATTTAAGCATGCTAAGAGACAATGTTCTTCGTCAGTTGGCTAACTTATATCCCAATCCAATAGATCCGACCCTACCGCATGAAACTGTCTGGTTCCAGCAGGACGGTGCAACACCCCATTATGCTTTAATGGTGAGACATTACTTGAATGAAATCTTCAATAAATGGATTGAACGAAGGGGTATTACTGAGTGGTCAGCTAGGTCTCCAGATCTTACGCCTTTGGATTTTTTTCTGTGGGGTTATCTCAAGAACAAAGTATATTCAACACAACCAACTAGTATTGAAGACCTCAAGAAAGGATAACTACAGAAATACGAAATATATCACCTCGAACTTTAAACAAAGTTCGTAACGAGTTTTATAGAAGACTGTGTTATTGCCCACAAGGTGGAGAACATTTTGAGTTCGTTGAGATCAGGTTGTTAAGGAGCTTTTAAAAACATGGTTTCCTAACATCGTTCAATAGCTTTCAGTAAGCTTGGATTCTCAGTTCACATAAAGCTACGGTTTGTTAGAACAGTGCGCAGCGCACAGCAGAATCTGTTGTACTCGACTCGCGGCAGTTTTGGGTGTTAGATTATTTCGCAGAAATATTCTGTCGCTCTGAAAACAAGTTTAGAAATTGGTTTCAAGTTTATTCTCTCAAAGATTGTACATTTAAAAAAATGAATTCTCGCAATCTTAATGCAATAATTTTCTTACTCCAAGAAGAGGAGGAAGAAGAATAGTTGATAATGTTAAATGTAAATAAAAGAAATAAAAATGTAAACGAAATTTTTTCATGTCTTAATACAGAAGGTGTTTTTAAATTAACAGTCGAAGAAAGATTGTTTCAAAACGAGGAAAAATTTCGAGAATATTTTAAACTTTCCAGGGATTTATTTGGAACTGCAATTTGTACTAGATCCACTAGTCTGTCATCTTCATTGGGAGAAAATTTAGTAGACATCACTTAATTATTACAATATTAATAACTATATAAAAATACAATTATAATTTCGGTATATTATGTTGCAAAATCAAATCGCAGTTGATTCAACGTACACTGTCGACGTACACGTCTATCGGTCTGCAGTGCGCGTAGCTTAGCAGAACCTAACACACCGTTATCATAGAGAACCATTTCTTTGATTTTGACGAACGTACGCGGTGTTCGACTGACTGTGAGTTATGCATCGCTCACTGTTCTAACAAACCATAGCTTAAGTCTCCTGACTTATTGACTCATATCCGAAATGTCTTCAATAAAAGGATGAAATAGCTGATATCCTTTCATTTATTTTCCAACTTTGGACCGATAACCCCCCACTCTCACAGTGAATATATAATATGTATTTTATTTTATTTATTTTTTTTTTCAGCCAGTGTACCGATCGCCAAATGCGACATGTCCGCTCGCTTGTTCAGAAATAACTTCAAAGCCTACAAGGAACAACTAGTAAAAAAGCTATTCCAGCTCTTCAACGAAAAGATTTTTGACAACGTGCTACCTCAAGACATGCAGATAGAATGGAACGACAGGATGAGGAGCTCGGCGGGATTTTGTTACTGCAAGAAAATCACCAGGAGAACGGGGGCTATCGAGAGGTCAGCCAGAATAGCTTTGTCTACGAAAGTTTTGGATACAGCGGATAGATTGAGAGATACTTTGATCCATGAGATGTGCCATGCTGCCACGTGGATTGTAAATTGTGTTTCAGATGGTCACGGAGATTACTGGAAGTCTTGGTATGTCCTTGATGGGAATTCGTAGAGATAAACTTAATTTCGTATTGTAAAAAACAAATTTTCAATTCCGTACATATCGCTTCTAAAATACAATTTTGTGTATTTTGAAAACGACTTTCTATATGTAATTCGAAACGTCAAAATAAAGTGACTAGGTTTAATTTGTGGTTTACATCTTACGAAATATTTGTTGAAACTAAATTTTAATTATATTTTTATCTTCATTTAATACTATTTTTTAGGGCTTTCAAAGCAATGAAAACGTTTCCCGAATTGCCGAATATCAAACGATGCCACAATTATGTCATAAATACTAAATATACCTATAGATGTACAACATGCGGTTACAGGTAAATGATAAAAATAATGAGAGTATTGAATATAAGCAACTATCGTTTCTCTATTTGTTTCTCGTTTTTTTCTTGAATCTTTGTTTTTAGAATTACATAAAAGTATAAACCAAAAGAATAAATCAGTTTACGGTTAAAACAAAAACAGTGAAATGTACAAATAGTTTTTGTTTACAAACTCTGTACTGTTTACAGTTAACTTTCGTATTAAGTAGACTAAACTTTTGCTGCTAGTAATTTTAATGTTAAATTTTGGGTAATTGTACAATAATTTAGAGGGGTTTATAGGCCATGGTCTAAAAGTATTTCTTATCGACTCGTCTCGTTCGCGCAGACGGAATCAGCCATGTTTTAAACGGAACCAGTGCTGTTCAGTGAAATTTTATCTGGTGTGCATAGACCCGGTTTAATTTATTTACGACAACTATAGACATTATACATAATAGACATAATAAACGTGGGTTTTAGCCGACTCGACAACATGCCTCCATTGTTTTCTGTCTTGAGCAACCTCCATCCAATTCTCTACGCCCATAGTGCTTGGGTCTTCTGCTATATTATCTCGCCACCGGAGACGAGGGCGTCCGCGTGGTCTACTTCCAGTTGGGACTTCCTCCCACACCAGTCTTACTGTTCGTTCGTCAGAATGTCTTCTCAGGTGTCCTGCCCATTGGAGTCTTCTGGACTTTATTTCTTTTATGATGTTGGCGTCTGGGTAAAGTTCTTCGAGTTTTTTGTTAGTTCTTATCCTATATTGTCCTGATGCTTCATCCAGCACAGGACCAATGATCTTCCTTTGGATTTTTCTTTCCCAACACACATAGTTTCTCTATTTTGCCTTTGTTATCGTCCACGTTTCGCTTCCATACATCACAACGGGTCGTATGATTATTTTATACACCTGTGTCTTCGTACGTCGTGTTAGTTGTTTCGATTTTATAAGGTTTTGGAGACCAGAAGACATCTGTTGCCGGCCTGAATCCTGTTGTTTATTTCTTGTGATCCGTTATTGTCTTCAGTTATTGTTGTGCGATTATACTTGAATTCTCTAACGTGCTCAAAGATAAAGTCATCGATGGTGATGTTCTGACCGATTCTGTCTTTGCTTTGGTTATTGCGGCTCATATACATATATTTCGTCTTGTTTTCGTTGATTTGGAGCCCCACCTTCTCTGCTTCCTTCTCGAACTTCTCGAAAAGTCTCCTTCATCCTTAATCGTGTGTTTCCTATTAGATCAATATCGTCTGCAAATGCCAGTAATAAGTTTGGTCCTTCTCGATGAAATACTGTATTCGGTTTTTCGATTCTTGCACTTCTGATTATGTGCTCCAGAGCCAAGTTGAAGAGTTGTGGTGAAAGTGCATCTCCTTGTTTTAGTCCATTGTTTATTTCAAATGTCTCCGAGTATTGTTGTCCAACTCTTACCTTACATCGTAACCGTTCCATACACATCCGTATCAACCTGACTAGTTTTTTTTGGAAAGCCAAGTTCCTGCATCGCTGTCCACAGCATGTCCCTGCATACTCTATCAAATGCTTATTTAAAATGTATGAACATCTGATGAAGCTCACGATCAAACTCCCAGCATTTTTCTATTATCTGTTTTATTGTGAATATCTGGTCAATGTTAGCAAGGATTTTGTAGGTGGTGTTTAGGAGTGTTATTCCCCTGTAGTTAATACATTGCTTTTTGTTTCCTTTTTTGTGTATTGGTACAATAACCCCTTCTTTCCATTCATCTGGCATTGTTTCTTCTCGCCAAATGTCTTGAATCGCTACCTGGTGTCTTATTATTTTTAATTTTTTTAATTGCCTGTATAACTTCTTCGTAAATCGGGTATTGGTCTTCTATTTCAGCTGTATGTACCTCTATGTGTGATGTATTTCTGCTAGATTGGTCATTCAATAGTTGATAGAAGTATTCCTTTCAGGTTTTTAGGATTCCCTTGTCATCCGTGATAAGCTGTCCACTGTCGTTTTGAAGGAAGTTTTCTGTTCTTGCTTGGTACCCGGTCTTGATATCTGAAACTCCTTTGAAGAACTGTCTCGCTTGTTTGTTCTTTCTTTTTTCTTCCATATCTCTGATTATTTTTTCCTGATACTCTGTCGTATTCCTTTTCATTAGTTTTCTTGTCTCTGTTCTTCTTTGTCTATACATTTCATTGTTGTTGTGCGAGGGGTTTTGTAGCATGTTCCTTCTAGCCATATTTCTTGCTGGTATTAAGTTCAGACAATCATCATCCAACCATTTTTTTGTTGTTTTCTTTTTGTGTCCTAGTATTTCATCTGATACGCTTGTCAGAGCTAATTTGATATTTTTCCAAGCTGAGTCTATGTTGTTATAGTCTTCTGTCTGTGTTAGAACGACTTTTATAGCCTTTTGAAATTTCTATTCAGTATTCCATAATTGTGCATACACATAATATGCACTATTTTATTCATAGTTTAGTTGAAGAATAGATTAAATTATTTCAAATTTACTAAATGATTAATCTCTAAAAATTTCAATTACAGTTCTGTCGTAGCTTGTCACAAATTTCTCAATTCGAGTCTATGTTTCCGTTTAAAATATGACGATCGCGTGCTGACACTTCAAAGGTGGCACCTGAGAGTGGGCATTCTGATTGTTATTTATTCTGTGACCTGGGTGAGTCGCAGGTGTATGTATGCAGATTTTCCTTCTTCTCTTTAAATAAGTAAAAAAAAGTTTCAGACGAAGTGTCAGTAACAAACAATTCCGGAACAAATGCTATAAACTCCGATATAAGTATAACTACGCGTGATTTAATCATATTTTGTTTACATCTACCATAATTTTGGGCACCCCCAATGTATAACAAAATTGGTTAACAGGTTCATTGCGTAAGGCGCGGATCTGCGTCCAGGCCGTTCATTCCCCTGTGCTAACGGCGCGAATCCGCGCTTTAAACATGACTTCCATTTACAGTATGATATTTTATTAGCTCGAGAGTTGTGCGTTAATTTGCTACATCAGCATCTACGAGTAGCATCAGGTAACGGAAGTTACGTCACAGTTGTCACTTTTATTGTTTCCTTTTATTATGACACGTGTTTGACTATTGCAATGATGGAGAACGCCGAGCCAGATTGTTCTCAGCCAAAATGTAAAAAAAATCAGTTAAAAACCCTAAAAAGTTAACAGAAGAGGAACTTGAATACTTTTTAATACAATCAGATAGTGAAGATGAATATATTTCCTCGGAAGATGAATACATTTCATCTACAGACGATGAGGATGGGGATGAGTTAGGTAAGTTGGAAACAAGTGAGTTTGAAAAAGTGTCAAATTTGTATTTTTGTGTGAAAATTTAAATCCAAATGCAGGTTATGGGGAAGAACCGAATGAAAATATAAATTCAAATACACATGAATGGCAAAATGATCATGATGTAATGAAACAATTTGTTTTTATTAGATGTTGCAACTTGTTGGTATGCTGATGTTGATGTGCATAGAAAAGCCAAAACCAAAAGCATAGAGCCACCACAAAGTAAGACACCTTTTGATTACACTCGTCTTCTGGCGGATGAAACATTATTTTGAACTGATAGTGACAGAAACGAATCTGTATGCAGAACAGTTATTTAATCCAGAGGTAGGAGAAGTTATAGAGGACATGCTGTACAAAATTCGTTCATTGTTAAATTATTTTAATAAAAAAATGAATGACATATATCAGCCTGACTAAAATCTCTGCCGTGATGAATCAGTAGTTTTATGGCGTGGTGGTCTCTGTTTTAGAATGTATATTAAAAATAAGCGCCATAAATTTGGTATAAAAATGTGGTTGAGTTTACCGAAAGTACAAGCTAAATATAGCCGTAAATGTCACAAATATTTGGGTTTGGCAGTGTTGGCATGTTTTATAATGCATATGTTGAATGCTTCAAATATAAAGACATAAAACTTTTAAAAAGTATATTTTGACTATACTATTTTATTAATTCTGCAATTTTTATTATATATGAAATAATAACGAGTAGATATTTGTCTCTTTCGACATTAATTACAAACATCTTTTGTAATCTGGCAACTGCTGATTTGACAATTGCCAAATCTATCCCCTAATCTATCAAAGGGTAACTGCTAAAAAAATGTCTAATAATTAACTGCAATTAATTTCCAAAGAAACAAATACTTACTCATTTTTGTTCTATATAAATAAAAAATTGCAGAATTCGTATACTCGGTTCGCTAATGCCAGCCCGAAGTGTCTAGTGATTTTAGTAATTATGTTTTTACGAAGTTAGTTACTTTTTGACAGACTAGAAGTGGCTGGAAATTATTATACAACCAAGTACACGTGCTCATAGCGCATTTCCTCGACCTCTTTTGCAAACTTATACTATGAATTAGAAATTTATAGCATGTATATAGAATGTAAGTTTCTATTATATATAAAAAATATGTTTTATAAAAAAAGTTACGGTAATTTTGTTTATATCGTTAGGTTGCGCCAAATGTAGGCAACCAAGTTAAACTTTTTGTTAGCATTTAGCTGGAGTTTCTTGAAAATAGATTTAATAAATATTTAATATTTTCCAGTTAATTTATTATTATTTTTTTAAAGTGATGATAATAATGCTGAATAAGCAATATTTCAAATGATATCTAATCACAGGACGTACTTAATATTGTGTTATAAAGTAGGTTAGAGAAAAAATATAATATTCATATTATAATTCAGAAATATCATTCATCAAAAATATAATCCAATATCATCAAAAATATAATTAAAACAAATCATAATCTTCTATTATTCTTATTAGAAACTAGTTTTGGACGACCCGGGATTTTACCTTTTTTATCTAACGTACTTTATTATGAGGATTTTACAATAACACAATATGAAGTACGATTTGTTATTAAATATCATTTGAAATATTGCGTATTCAGCATTATTATCATCACTTTTAAAAAATAATAAATTAACTGGAAAATAATAAACGTTTATTAAAAATATTCTCAAGAAACTCCAGCTAAATCCTAACAAAAAGTTTAAGTTGGTTGCCTACATTTGGAGCAACTTAACGATATAAACTAAAGTACTGTAACTTTTATTTAATTTTTGACGCCATGTCAAACTGAACTGGATGTTAACTGAAATGTTTTTGTTATTAAGAACATATTTACATAATTTTATAAATATATTTTAATGATCCACCTACGCCGAATGGGCAAATAATTAAACAAAAATAGTTGGTGTTTTGAATAAATCTTCGTGATTACCTCGTAATTTAACAGCATCCTTACTCATCTAAAAATATTAACTTTTAAAGAACATTTATCATATTTATATTTATTTAAGAAAAACTTACCAACGCATTATCTGATAGAACAAATGGAAAACTTTTACTATATCTAATAATAAAATTCAAAATAGAACTAACTAATTAACTAAATAGGACTAACAAAGAATTAAACAAAAATAAAGGAATAATAAAACTATATTAGCTAAAATAAACAACGCGAAAAATACAAATATTTACTACAATATGTTCAATTGTAACAACTCAAATATTATATTTTAAATAGGTATACAGGGAAAATTTTATGGGTTTAGTATACACTTCCACTATTTGGAATAATTCTTCTTTTTTTAAAGGAAGAAGTCTACAATAGTAGTATATTTGAGCTATTAATACTGAGAAGTAGGAATTTTTGTGTTGTAGGTTTCCGACAATGAATCTGTCAAAATATGCCCGAGCTAAGCGAATGGAGAATAACACAACAAAATGTACTTTTATAAAACTTTATCTTTTTATATTTGAATTATGCAATATTTACATTCCAAAAACCTGCTAACACTGCTATACCGAAATTTTTTGTTCCATGTTTGACATTTACGGCTATAATAAGCTTGTACTTTACTTGTTAGTAAATTTGAACTACCGCCGGAACAGACCATTCAAAAAAAGTTGTCATGGAATTGATGCACAAACATCTAAATGCAGGTCACTCGTTGTTTATGGACAATTTTTGCATGAGTATGGACCTTGTCGAAACACTTATGAAGAACAAAACATATTGTACAGGAACTCTTCTGGGAAGAAGACAAGGAAATCCAGTAGAAGTGACTAAAGCCAAGTTAAAAAAGGCGAGTCAGTAGCAAAATATAAAAACGGCGTTGTTGTTGGCAAATAAGTCGATAAAGGGGAAGTAATGTATATGTCCACTGAGTTCAGCAATGTTATGGTAGAATGTGAGAACAAACGAAAACAAAAAAACTGAAACCTCTTCAAATCGCCGAATATAACAAAAATATGAATGGTGTTGATCGCAAAGATCAAATGTTATCATTATCCTTGCGAAAGAAAAACCTTTCGCTGGACAAAAAAATTGGGTATACATATACTACAAGTGATTTTAGTAAACTCTTATTTTTTATTTAACAAATATTCTGGAAAAAACTGTCTCTTTATGACTTTCGACAGAAATTGTAAGAAATTGACTACGCTCTCTTCAGAAAAATGTTCCTAAAACATTGAATAACTTATCCAAACGGAATATTTTAAGGGGACAGTCTCATGAGATTAAAAAAAGACGTATTTTAAAATTAAAGCAGAAAAAAAACTATAATATTTATTAACATAATTCCTTTTGGAGATGATTAAGTAAGTCATGAAGTACATAATAAAAATTTTTAATAGCGATTTTAACTTCATTGGTGTCCTGTCGATGGCGTGTAGTAAAAAGTGCGTTTTTGGTGGTAAGACACTTTGTGGGTCACCTGTAACAGATATTCAAAAAATTCAAAATGGGTTGTATTCGTGAGACTCAAAACTAGATGATAAACCTTTAAAATATGCAAATTGTATTATTTTGAAGATTTTATACGAATTTTTTCAAAAAAGTCGAAAAATCACTATATTTTTCGGTGGATTTACCCATATATAATAAAAAGGGGTGTGGTTTTTAAATATTTTAAAGGTTTATCATCTAGTATTTTGTATATACATTCGAAAAATTTTTGGTTTTTTAAAATCGGTTAAGAAGGTTCGGAGAAAAGTGTCTGACCAGTTTGAAAATGTTACTTTTGAGAAAAAAGCATTTAAAGTTTTTTTTACATAATTTTCGTGAATAAAAGACTGATCACTTTATACTCACGTTTAATCGGCCATTCTTGGTGAATACTGAGGACCGTCTTCATCCAACAGTTGTTGTTACTGGCTTTGTAAAGCTGTAAATTTCAATACAACGTAGCGATATTTTATAATTAATTTATTTGTTTGACTGGAGTCTCACTCTTAATTAACGCCGCGATGCTTCCAGTGTAAGTGTAAAAACGGAACACACCTAGATCGCATGTAAATTCAACGAAAACGTACTTATTTATAAATGTAGATATGAAATGAATATTTTATAACTAAAAAATGGTTATGTTTTATTGCCAAAACGGCTTGAAAAAAAGTTGATTTCTAAAATTAAAAATAAAAAGGAATTTTAAAAATAAAATAATTATATTACACTCTTTTTAATTTGAAATTATAAACAATATTTGGATTAATAAATGTATTTAAGTATAAATTTTATACCTCAAATAATACCTAATGAACACAAACAAAATTGATGTTAATAAAACATTATTTGTTATCTACATAAAACCGGACTTTCAGGAAAAATCGGTAGACGGAGCAACACTGTCGGCGTGCCATATACGCTGCTACAAACCGCTGAGGAGAAGTAATCCAGAGGAACAAATAAATTAGTTATAAAACATCGCGAAGTTATAAAGAAATTTACACTGGTTAATTGCAACGCAGAGAATCTTGTATTTGTAAAAAATCCTATGTTCCGGATTTAAAATTCCAAATGTGTACAGTAACTGCCAAACGTTATATTGATATACATACTATATAAAAATGAATCACTAATACATACCCAACGTATATACAAAATATATACAAAAGCAAGAACAGCTGGAGCCTCGCGCTCGCCGCGCGGAGAGAAACCGGTTTTCATACGTGCGTAGATGACGTTAATAAAATAACTATAACTTATATTCTAGTGGGAATTTCTTTTTAAAATTTTAGGAGGGAGTTTGTGAATGTAAATGGAAGCGATTTATATAAAAAAAATAAAATTGATTTTTAGAAAGTTCCGCATGAGACTGTCCCCTTAAGCAACATAGCTGAGAAAATACAAAAAGAGAAAGAAAAGATACGATTGATGAATGTCTTATTTGTACTGACAAACCTGGTCTTTGCCTAGGCGCATGCTTCGTAACATACCATGAAGACCGAAAATTACTCTAGTTTGTGTATTTTTTTTACTATTTGTTACTTATAACGTTTAAGTTGCCCTTAGTATATTATTTTTAGTGTATGTTTTGTTACTTTTCAAATAAAACATAATTTTTTTGTAGCCTTTTATTTAAAAAATAAGACGAGGATCAGCGTCCCGTTAGCATTTGGTGTGAAAATTTAAAGTTCCTCTTGACATTTGCTCCCAAATGTGGCATATAATGTCTAAAACATCATATAAAACACCAATAACTAACTCTTATCACTGTTTGTTGAAACAAAGTTCCTAGTACCTGGCGTGTTCCTAGTAGATTACCTACGCAGTGAACCGTTTACGCTTAAAATAAGGTGATATGAGAATTTTTAATGCACAAATAAATTTCGCTCAAATAACATAATTTTCTATCAACAATGTTTCGATAATATTAATTGCAAATTTTATTTTAAGTTTTTTCAGAACTGTTTTTTTTTCTTCTTTTTTCTTCGTTTTCAGAAATTTTAATGCAAAAACTGTGTTTTTTCAGTATTGGACGACACTCAAAATCCTTGGACATCGAGCGAAAGCGATGCGGCTATTGCTACGGAAAATTCGAAATCCTAATCAACAAAACCAACAAGAAAGGTGAAACCAAATCGGTAGCCGCTACCCCTAAGAAGGAAGCTACTGGATTTGCATTGTTCGTTAAAGAAAATTATGGAATTTACAAAACTACCGATAGAAAGCATGGAGACGTAATGAAGATACTGGGCCAAAAGTTTCAAATGATGAAAGTCGATATCAAATTATAAGGCGATTGGTTGTATGGGTTACTTTTCAAAACTTGTTTTTGGAAACAGTTGTGACTTCCAACTAGTCATAGTTTTCCTTGACTTTTGTCCCAATTAGAAAAGTCTCAGATTCTTTCTTATTGAGTAGTCGTGATGTTCGTGAACTGTCTTTTCGCTTTCCGATATCAATTAACAAGTTATGTTATAGTATCCAAGTTTTAACGTTATCTTATCGTACTATTTAATACTAAGTTATATCTTAAATATTGGTTATTTGAGAAAGATACATCAATAAAATGAAGAGCGAAGTGTTTTCATACTATCGAAACTTGAGATCCGATTCGGTTAATCCGATTCATTGAGTTTCTGAATATAAAGTTACAATAGACATCGTAGAGCACATTGCGACTCTATTGTAACGCATGTATCGTGATTGTGGAGAAATCAATTCCATAAGTTCCATGAAATTGGATCAACATAGGGAACCGTTTATGTCAACTCTAACCTTTTTATTTTGCCAAACCATGTGACTTGGTGCTCAAGAGTTTTTTCACACAAATAACACTCACTTCTAACAAATGCTGGTTTTATTGGCGAAACATAGAATTTGGTGACTATAAATCGGTTTTGAAAATATTTCATGTAGAAGTGGTTAATTTGGACAAGTCACTACAAAGATTCGTATCTGTGAGTCAGATTACTGCATCGTAAAGTTGCAAGAAACATTGCATAACAAAATGCTATTTAATTTGATAATCAGTAATGTGGTTTATTAAAACGAATTGAAGATACTCTAAGTATCACGAAATGGGAGCAACTTAGAAAACCGTGTAAGTCAACTCTAACCTTTCTCTTGTACCATATCAACTGACTTGGTTTTGAAGAGTTTTTCCTCGAAATGAAAATTGCTTGCCACAAAGACTTGTTTTGTTGACGAAACAATTATTTAGAAGCGAGTTGAATATGAACCAACCATTACTTAGTTACATCATAATCATCTTTGGCTCTACAACCCTGGGTGGGTCTTGGCCTGCTCAAGAATTAGTCTCCATTCCCCCCTATCTTTTGCCCTGGCTTTCCAATTTCTGACCCCTAGATTCCTCAAGTCATCTTCGACTTGAGTTTTAAATCTAGATCTTGACCTGCATCTTTTCCTGGTTCCTACTGGGTGTTGATGTAATATATGTCTTTGGCGGTCTCCAGTGTTCATTCTTTCAAGGTGTCCTAGCCACCTTAGTCTATTAATTTTAATAGACCGGACGATGTTGCATTTTTCATAGCATTGATGCAACTCAAAATTGTAGCACCTGCGCCATATCCCGCTTTCTTGTACTCCGTATATATGCCTAAGCATTCTGCTTTCAAAGCGGCCTAACAGTTCTTCGTCGCTTTTACCATAGTTCATGTCTCTGACGCGTATGTCGGGACAGGTTTAATTAATAAGAGTTTCATATATTAGTATCTTGGTTTTTGTGCTAATTACGTGAGATGTTGAGAACTGCTTTGGTCCAAAGTAAGCTCTGTTTGCCAGGTATATTAATCTCTTAATTTCTACGCTTACTAGGTTGCTGTTATTTAATTGTGTTCCAAAATATATAAACTCCGAGACCCCTTCGAATATGTGTGCTTCTGTCACCAGATCTTGTGGTGCCGCTATTTGTGTGCTGTTCGTGACCTTCATGTATTTTATTTTGGATACGTTTACCTGCAGTCCCATTGTCTTTGCGGCTTTTTTAAATGTTTTAAAAGCCTGTATCAGGTCTCTGTTTGTCCGTGTTACTATGTTAATGTCATCTGTGTAGGCCAATATCTGTACACTTCTATTGATGATCGTACCTCTGGTTGTTATGCCCTTTCTTCTCGGAATCCACATCGTTATTTGCCTATTTTTTCCCCACTGCTGGACATAGGCCTCCCTTAAACTCCTCCATTAATTCTGCTTAATTTTTCTCCTCCAGTAATTAATTAATTAATCCTCCAAGATATCATAAAAGGAATCAATTTGAACCAATTATACATTTTTAAATTAATTAATTTATAATTTTAGATTATTTACAACTGTGTCGCTAATCTAGTCTATTGTTGTTATGTCACAAAAGTGTAATTTATATTTCAAATCTCATAGACAATTAATTTTTTACGAAAAATTGCATTGTTTTAAAAAGACGCTCAATAATAAGACAATTAGCAAAGAGCTAATACTCTTTTAAATGTACCTGTTTTGTAACATGTTCTAAATATGTAATACGAAGATTGTTCTGTAAATTATTAAAATAAAACAAAAGTAATTTTCTATAAAAAATATTTCATTACTTTTCTTGTAGTTCCTCTTAGGTTATACTACGAGATCCCACTGCAAAACCACCACGTTCATAACGTAGTTAGTTAAACTTACATTTTTACATACATTACAAAAATGGGAGAATACATTGATAACAGGTTACCAATCAAAAAGTGACTGCAAATATTTTTAATTCAATTAATGGTAATTACAGTACCTGTGGCCTAATGGCCAAATTATTAGGCCAAGCAAGGAACAATTTACTATATGAAGTTATTTCTCTCATGATTCTGGATTGTTATCATTATCATGATTTTTCCTGGAGGTGAGGATTATGATTCCACTCATATATGAGCGTTTCAAGTAACTTCCTTTTATTAGTAATGTTTTTTTTTCGCCATCTCCCTTTTAAGTAGTTCCCACCCAACGAGCACCATCGTGCATAAAAATGACTTTATCTTCACCAGGAAACCATTCCTGCAGCTGTGGCAAAAGTGTGGCGTACAAAACCGAATATATATAAAAAAAAGTGTATCACATATAAATCAGACGTACATCAGATAAGAAAGGTACTATACAGTGAGAGTCGTACAGTGGAGATGGTCGTGCGGTCCACAAAACAAAAAAAAATCCGAAGTTATATCAGGGGTGCCAGGTAAATTGGCCCACAGCCTTCCCTACGTTACTATTCAATAAACCACCAACTTAGCAATAGGTTTACTACTAAAATATTAAGTATAGTATACAACCTGAATAAGTAAAAAAATAAATGAAATTGTCTGAGAACAAAATTACATATTATTATTATTATTAAACATACATATATACAACAAATATATAAAACAAATACATATTATTTAACTTTACCATAGGCTTAATAAAAAGAATATAAAAATGCGGCTTCTACTTGAACAACAAAAATTCATGTTATTTCTATTTAATTGCACGAAGAGGTAAGATGTATCAAAAGTACCAGACGCTAAGGGGTTCTAATTGCCTGTTCTAATGAAAATTCGTTTTTGGAAGAAAAATAATTATTAACATCTATTTTAGTAAAAAAAGATTTTCTGATGTCGTTTATAAGTAAGAAATTTTCCAGAATAAAGGAAATGGAACAAAATAACAGAAAGGATTTCTGCTACAATTCACACGACAAAATTCGAGTAAAATAACAATACCATATACCATGATACTATAATAACAAGATAGGATCTTCCCGTAGCACAAAATAAGTCATGTTCGCGCATGCCGTCATTGGAGAGTAGAATTTGAATTCTTGTTAAAGTTAAATGGGATTTGTATGCATTCTGTGATGAAATTACTAGACGAAAATAAGTTAAGAGGTTTAGTAATTACAATAATCGTACACATAAGAATATCTCCAAACTATTTATTAAAGATTATTTATTGATACATACAAAAAACTGACATTTCGAACGTCAAACTCTCCAATGACGTCACGACTTATGCGCAATATCTTATCTTCTTACTCTTACTATCATGCCATATACATTATAAAAGAATAACTTCGTTCGACGTCATACGTATGTCTGTCAGTAATTTCCCCGATTCAAATTCATAATAGGCAACTTACATTACGCGGCTCAAAGTAGTGGGTCAGGCTCTAGACACTTACTAGTCAGCTCTTTTAGTTCGACAATTTTCTGCAGCGCCATCTATTGTTATTATTTGCTCTAGGAACAAAGGAATAAAACTTTCTTCATAATTGTTTCGTCAGTTAATTAATATGTCAATATGCAAATATTGGTCTATTTACCCAAAAAAATCATTTATATTAAGTACGCTCTACACTGAACCCCTGTTCTGGGTACAAAATAATATTTATAGATGTATCTTAGTCGATTTAGTTATGAACTTTTGTCCTGTCATTCTATTGGTTTAAGCTTTCAAGATACAGCCGATGGCCAACGTTATCAACCACTTGACTCTATGTTTTTTAACTTTTTGTACAATTAGGAGTTTTCCATTCATCTCCATTACTTCTTTATTTCTTCTTCTTCGTCAGTTTCCGTCGGCCGTCCTAATACCACCAAAAATATTCCGCAACACCTTCCTTTCCCAGATCGCGATTTTCATTTCATCTTTCTTATTCCATGGTCTAGGTCTCACAGGCATACACTGCCGATGACCGAATGACTGTTTCTTTCATTCAACTTTTTGCTGCCCTACGTACATTTTTTGTTTTTAGAATATTGTTTAATGAGCAAATTGCTCTACTTCTTTTTTGTAATAATTTCGTTTCCTTTTAAGTGTGATGGGTTTATTTTGTTGTTATCTCACCACGCATTTCCATATATTTTGTTTTCGCTTCATTTATATACAACCTAAATTTTCTTGCTTCATCTTCAAAGTTCTTAAACATGGTGTTCAAGTTCTTTTTTTGTTCTTGGAGGAATACATCATCTGCGTACACTATACATTGCTGTTTATAGTGGAAAATGGTACCCATAGTGAGGATCTTACTCTCATTATTGCCCTTGTCTTAACCTATTGTAACCGAAAACAGATTTGACACACTTTCTTCTATGACCACTCTATTGTTTGTACTTGTTAGTAACATTTACTTAAATCAAATGGCGACATTTTTAAAACAGTGTAAGATGATCGAAGCGTAAACTTGTACTTTGCGCATGCATGAGTCAAACTGTTTAGATATTCCACTACCTGTAACTACATACTTTATATGGGATAGAGCTCTTTGTCCCTCCTATTTGGTTATCTAACTGCTCGCATTTTTTCCAAGTAATATTTGTGTTTTCCAAGTGTTTTTAACTGCTTCTTACTTTATTTCTACTACATTTTTGTTTATTCATTTCAGTTGTATAATACTTTTTGATATAAATTATTTTCTCTAGAAAATAAAATTCCTAGTTTCTTTTGCTGCTTCTATGCAACAGTTTAAATTTTCATATTATGCTTCTTGGTTATGTCTTTAAAGGAATATGTAATTGGTTGTTTGATAAATGAAAAGATTATACAAAAAGACAAACATTTATCGTTTATTCTTGACTGAATACATAATATAACAAGATCATTATAAACAAAATGCCGCAAAATACTATTTTCAAAATTTGACGAGACCATTTACAAAACTAAAAATGTATTGATTTTTAATTACATATATATGTATATATAAAATAACAAAATATAATATACACACTTTCAGGCCTTTATTTCAGTTTTATACTTTGGACAACAGTGATGTAAGAGTAGTAAATTCGAGCATGATGATGGTACTAACAATGGGAATATGTGCTTGAATTATTGTGTATATTGTTTGCATTTCAGATCATCAAGATTCCGACCAAGAAAAACAGGACAGATACAACATTCACTTAGATATAAGGTTCTTGTCTGTTGAGTCTTGTACTTTTAGAGAGAGATTGCATGTATCTATTTAAATAATTAAGGAATAAAACAACAATCTGGTTAAAAAACATATCTAATAAATGAGATCAGTTGTCAGCCCTGCCTCCTTCAGTTTATAATCGTTAACTTCAGATCGTAGAAAGTAACTTTATTTCTTCAGCTTTATTTTTTTCTCTTTTCAATTATCCTTACTGCCTATAAGCTGCCTCGCTGGTAATATTTAGTTATTTCTTGTAGTATTTCTTGATTTCACAAAAAAATACCTGCTTTTCGTAACCAAACAACCTGGTCTTGGTCTCCTAACAACCTCCCAATTTGCACCTGGGACTACATATACTCAAGAAAATATAACTAATATCATTAGAACCTCTTAAAATATCATGCCAGTGGGCAGAAAGCACTTTGTTTTCTTCAATTCTTAATATTTACTAACATAATCTGTGGCTAGCCATTTATATGTTCGTTTTAACAAACTATTCCTTATTTTTGTCCATAGAGGTACTTAACTCAGCACCGAAAAGCTAGAAGCATTTGAAAATCTTCAGTACCCTAGAGAAAAATTGATACAGCAAAAAGTTCTAAGAGCCTACTCAGTCATAATATTATATGCAACAGATAAAAAGAAACATATGATCTCTTCCTTAAACAGGTCTAAATATATATAATATCTGCCCAAAGAAGCATATGAGTTGCTCATACAGGTTGGATTGCTGATATTTATCATTTGTTCACATTTCGACATGGTTTTTTTCCAATATCTGCATAAATTTATGAGTTTCAGAAAAATATAATGACCAGAATAAGAAAAGAGTTAACAATAAATCTTTAAGAGTTATTGATAAATTTTAACAATAGATATAACACAAAAAAGCTGGGTTCCGTGTTGACAATACAAACATACATACATACACTGCGTCAACTGGTGATCTCTAAAACTTCATAATATGAATGTTATAATCAAAAATCAATTCCATATACAATATAAGCCCTTTATTTGCAGTTTTGTGATTTGTGGATTTACCTCTTGACTATGTTACCTGCAAAGAGCTTTAATACATTAAAAAGAATGTCAGTCCTGCATATCTGTTAAAAGTCCCCTCAGTGTCCAATAAAATATAAGATTGTAAAAATGTATTACTAAATAATTCTTCCATTGCACATTTTAACTAGAAGATGTAGTAACAGTTCCACTTAGCAACTGTTGAGCTGATTGTGCTGCTATATGAGGATCAAAAATAATAGGTTGATTTAGAAAACCTGACAGAGGTGGTGGAGGCAGTGAAGAATTAGGAGTAGTATGTAATACATTTGTTGGAGCCCCACTAGATTGCATTTGGGGATATGAATACACAGGAACTGTGGTCTGTGTTGAAGGCTGGGCTGGACTAAAAGCAGGGTAATCAGCAGGATTATACATGGTTGGAGTAATAATAGGTTGGGGAGATTGTAGTGAGACTTGAGGATGTACAACTGCCTCTGAAGTTACAGGATTCTGAGGATTAGAAAATTTATTCATATCAAATGATGGGATATCATTACTCGCTGGAGGGTTTTGGAAATTCATGTTGAAATTCGGAATGGATGAAGGTGCTGGTACATTTGAGGTATAAACTGTTGGGTCCTGTTGAATTGTGCTGGCAGCCGTAGATAAAACATTAGTAACATGAGTGTCTTGGACTGCTTGTCCAGTTGCCTCCAAATTCAAATTTTCTGTTTTTTGAATTAAATTTGTAATGGGTTGAGTGGTAGCTGGACTAGCAGACTGGTCATTAGATGGTGATATTGTTGGAACTTGATTAAATATAGTTGTAGTTGGAGGAGGTTGGATCGCACTGCCTCTTACAGGAATTCGATGTAAATATCCATAACCTATACCACAGCCTAGCATACCATCACCACCCCACTTTGAATTTGGTGTTATAGTTACATCTCGACAAGTATCATCATCAGAATTATATACATAAAACTTCAAAGGAACTCCATCATGGTTCTCTATTAAATTATATAGATCTTCACTCTCATGTAATATAGAATCTGCACCAATGATGTAATCTGAAAATGGTCTAAGATTTGCTAGAGATGCTGGTGAATTTGGATGTACTTCCAAAATGTGCCATACAATTTCTTTGGCAACATCAAAGGAACAAAATTTTATGCTTACTCCTAAATAGCCTTGGCCTCCCCATGTGTCGCTTGGTACTACTGTCACAGTTCTCACGCTTTGAGTTTTATAACTATAGATGGTTAGTGGAAGTTGCTTTCCTGTAATAAATACAGAATTAATATTAATAGGAAGATTTTAATATTTTCTGGGAGATTTCCTTTTAATTTGATATACCTCATATTTCTTTGCAGTATAGTTGGCTAGTTAGTTGATGTTTCAAAGCAATGAGTTGAGTCACAGAACTTTTTCAACATTTCGATACATTAAATGTTTACTGTTTTGAAACATCAAGTCAGTACGTGTCATATATGATAATGATAAGTATTCATTTAAAAATGGTAATGAAAATCTATACTACCGAGAAAAAAAAACCTAATTAAATAAAACCAGACTAAACATATCTAACCTACACCTAAAACAATAAATTTGTGCTTAGCAAGCTCAAATCCCTAATCGTTCGCCAATCCTCATAACAATACTTTAACAATGATTTTGCTGTCACATGTCTTACAGAAAAAGAATCTGCACGAAATATTGTATCTTTGTATAGCGACTGACAATGAATTGTTATGATATGAAATATATGAAGTTACAATACCGGGTAAAATGTGTCAATGTTTCGAAACTTCACAGTGAGTTAATTCAAATGATTCGAAACATTCAAATGAGTCATTTCGCCCATCACTAGTTTGCAGTCATAGTTGATCTGCTTATAAATTGCTCATAACAGATTTTGAAAAAGTCTGGCTTATCCCTAAAGATGCCACACTTAATAAACAGAAATTAAAAATGTTAACAATATTTGGAGATGAACTTTGTGTGTGACAACAATTCAAATTAGGTGAACCAAGAATTGGTCAGGCAATTTGAAGTAATTTACCAGGCAACAAAGCCTAGGTTGATTAAAGAACTGAAAATTACAGATTTTATTGAAATATCACCATGATTATGGGGTGTTAAAGTAGTTATTAAATTACCTCTTTGGTGTAGACCTCTCATAAGAGCCTCCATATTGATCTATCATTGAAAAACTAGTTGTTCATCTACATCAGTAAAATATCTTACCATATTATCAGTTCAAACAAAATCACAATCCTTATTTTTATAATCAAAAGACTGATATTTTTTTGTACACACTTATGACAAGTCGAAAGAAAATGCAAAAAAGTATTTTTGAAGTGTGTATATTTTAGGCAATTCCTAGCTGAGCGCTTTCGGCTTTACAAAGCCATCATCAGAGCTATGTTACAATAAAATGTTCTAGTAAGTACTAATTGGTAAAGATTGTAATTTTTAACTTACGTCAATTTTTAAATACCACTACAAAGGAGAGATCTCATTTCCTTAAGTTTCAAAATTATGATTTTTTGTAGGAGTTGGAATTCTTAAAACATATAAAAAACATATAAAAAGTCGACACTGGACTTCACAAACATGTTAAAAAATTGAAAAAATTTTTTAACATGTATGATGTGATGAACACATAAAATTTAATTTAAAAACTTAATTTTTAGAAAGTCTTTGTTGACTAGTAGTAATTCCAAACTACTAAATAATTTTGTAAGAATTTAAAAAAACAATCTCTATTTCCTATATATGACATTTGTCACCTGTCACTTTTGAAAAATCGTTTAAAAGGACCGACATTTGATTTCACTAGTTCTATTCAGTCTACGTCCTCACATCAATAGATGGTCGGGTCTTAAACCCGTACCATGACAAAAATTTTTTCAATTTTTTAACGTGTTTGTGAAGTCCAGTGTCGACTTTTTATATGTTTTTTATATGTTTTAAGAATTCCAACTCCTACAAAAAATCATAATTTTGAAACTTAAGGAAATGAGATCTCTCCTTTGTAGTGGTATTTAAAAATTGACGTAAGTTAAAAATTACAATCTTTACCAATTAGTACTTACTAGAACATTTTATTGTAGCATAGCTCTGATGATGGCTTTGTAAAGCCGAAAGCGCTCAGCTAGGAATTGCCTAAAATATACACACTTCAAAAATACTTTTTTGCATTTTCTTTCGACTTATTTTTATAACTTAAGAAATACTGATTGCTTCTGTTACATTTGAAATTTTATCACCAGAAAAATATTGCCTTTTGAAACTACTGACAATGAAGACATAATAATAAAGACAAAATAATACCATATGACAGCTATAACTACCAAAATAGGAAAGTCACAGTTTCTACTACTTAACTTAATGTAGCTTATAGCTTAAAGAATTATGTACAAAAATACTGAGTGGTAAGGTTCACCCAAATGGAGTAAGATTCCATGCATTCCACAATTCAAAAGTATGTAAAGAGCAACAGAGTCAATATACCAGCAGATTATTGTGAAATATGCCAGTACTAAGCAAGTATTCGTCCTGGAAAGAAAAAAGGTGATTCAAGAGTAAGTATTAGCAATAAAATATAGCTTTCCTTATATGAAAATTATCCTTTTGATCTTAGGTTGTGGATACAGGAGCTTTCAGAAATTAAAATTTGGTAATGAATGGAAATTAGTATCTCAGGGAATCACTCAAGAAATTATTCCTTAACTGAACTAGATCATCTTAATACTTAAATATTGAATTGAAGACTATGGGAAGGAAGTATAATGATCTATCTATAGGGTTTCAACAATATTTTAGCTGATGAATACCATGCTTTTTATGATGATTTGCTGCATGAATGTGTACATATAAACATGAAATTTAATCAAAAACCTTATATTTATATTAACAATTATTATATGAGAACATATAATATTCTCAAGTCTAAAAGTTTTTAAAAAATTGACATTCACATATGGAAAGTCTCTATAAGTGTAAAATAGTAATCTGGACTATAAAATCTATATTTGAACATGCAAATCCATTACATGGGACCATATTTAAAGTTATTGCTATTGCAAATCAATAGAATAGTATTTTATCAAAATATGTAATAGTATACTTCGTCCCACAACTTATTCACTGAGGAGGATATATAAATTTATGTGATATATTTAGTAATCCATTTTAAAAAGAATTTTCGAAAGTTTTAGCAAATAATATAGAGGCATATGTGTCTATATTATTTGGTTTTAGTTTATGAACCCTATTTTTAACACATTCTTCTATTTTGTAATAATTAATGTACTCTTTTGATTTATGAAGTATTTTCTTTGTAATGGAAGGGTGTAACCACAAACAAAACAAGTAATTACTTACCTAGTCCGTTTTTGAGTATCGTCCTAAGTGTATCATTTTCTCGATCTAGCCGGGTGCCGTTAATAGATATAATAAAATCAAAAAATGGTTGAAGTCCTGCGATACTGGCAGGAGAATTTTCTTGGACCTAAAATTTTAAAATATGAATATAACATTTGGAAACAAATTCACCTTAAAAGTACTTTTAGAACGTGATATCCATCTGTTCCGCCGCCGGGAACATCTACACTTTCAGAGTTTCCCATATTTTTTTAATAAATTACTTGAAATTACGTGGCACCATAACCCAAAATTTACCATGTATCAACACAACACAGATCTTTCAAAAATGTTGACAAATGGTTTGACAGTACTGACGTGTTTATTTCTTGTTTTTTTCCACGTACACTTTCTATCACGGTGATGGTCGAGAGTATTGTTTTCCTTTTTTAATTTTACCGTTTTAAAAGAAATGTACTATTAACATTGAGTTGACAGATGACATAGGAACTTAAATCAATTAGAAAGTTGAATTAAAGGTAGTGAGCGAAAAATTTTTCGGGAGCTCAAAATATGTAAACGTGAAATGAAAATCTAAATTTGATAACTGATAACATAGTGCATACAAGAAAGAAAATAAACATATAGATCACATTAATTTCATTTTAGTCATTTTAGGTCCTAACCACAAAATAATAAACAATTATTCTGTGTCCTAACAAACCTAATCATATTATTGTATTAGGTAAAAAGAGGGAAAACTAATATAATAATAATTATATTTGTTTTGTGATAAAACATATAAGTGGTGTACTATGCACCTACGTCAATTGCTATTCTCCCCGCCAATGATTCGATAAATAAACTTCTGTTTTTCTACTTGGATCAAAATATTATTCAGTTATTTTATAAGTGAGATAGGTATACGAAGAAAATCATGGTAAAGGGAGATAGAAGCCGGAAATAAAAACAGATTCTGTTCAATACACAAAATAAGAAGAAATTTAGTTTTTAAAATTTGGTATTAGTAGCGTGAAATATTTCATTTTATTTGAGTAAAACAAACTAAAAAATTGAGGGTGATTGTAACAAAAAGTAATTTAGATTGCATAAAGAGCATGTTATTTACATCACTGTGATTTTTATTCAACGAGACATGATCCATAGATGACTAAACTATTTATCTATGACATGAGCAGGTCTTTATATTTAAGCACAAAGTGTCATTTTCTTTGTTATATTTAAAAAAAAATTATTGCGTTCCACATTTATTTCATCAACATAAACCTAGATGACCATGTTTTTGGAGAGATTATACCTACATTGGATACGATCAACTTATTATTTTTAACAAAAAGGTAAGTATTCTGCTTCATCTGCTTAAACTTCATCAGCTGTTTTTTGTTTTGGTTAGAATTGGAGTGGCATTGTCATCGCCATTTTTTGTATAAATATCAACATTTATTTTTATTTTGAAGGTTTTGTTTACGCGCCTTCATTTGCGTTTAATCTGACCTAAAATTTTTAAGACATGTAACCTCTATGGTTCATTATATCTACAATATATATTGCTATGATAAGGACTAAAAATAAACATTTTGTATGTGGTGTTAAAAATATAAAACCCCATGCATCTTCAATACATGTGCTTATATAACGAAATTTTTGTTCTTTTTTTAATATACATACAATTATTTTTATTTAAATTGTTTAAAAACTAAAATAGGGACTTTTTTTATTACATATACATACAATATGTTTATCTTAAATTATTTTGAGTACAGGGTCCTTAGCTTTATTCACTCAGTTAGGATGGTTGGTTGTGGTAAATTGCTTGTAAAAAACTAGCCATAATCTCCACCAGAAGACATTATGTTCTTCTTAGCAGTTATGGTTCTACTAAGTCTTTACTTTTTGAGATCAACAATTGCCATATCCACAATTCCAATATGTAGCCTCACATTTATTCAGTGTCATATGTAGAATTACTTTCTGGAGCATGTTTGTCTTCTCCAATGGTGTGAACTTGATGGCATCATGAAGTTTGGCTAGTGGTTTCATATTTCACACCAATAACAAGTGCTTTATCTTATGGTATTGGTTTAAGCTTTCTACATATCTGTCTATCCCAAAACATTAACTGCTATTTTTTCTTCTGCTATTTTTTCTAGAACATTGACAAAGCCTGTGTAAGCTGACCATATCATATGAGTCTCTAAATTCAAATTCCTGTAAATTTATTGCTGCCATGCTGTATTTCACTTCACACTTGTGGTTTGTATACATTTTATAGGTTTGATAAGGATAGATAAGGTTTGATCACAATTCTTTTGGCAATTTGGTAAATCTATAGTAAAATGTCAGCATCATTAACTCATAAAGCTTCAGTCAGACAAAAAGTATTTTGTTGTCCTCCCCAATGGTTGTCTTTCACACTAGCTTAAAATTGTCAAATAAGTATATAGATCAAACAAGGCTTTCCATCAAACAGTGAAAATTTCATTCATTTTACGAGATGTTTCTTTAATTATTTATGATGATTGAATCTTGTCCTAGAAATTCAAATGTTTCAGGGGCATATCCATTGTTGATGAGGACTCTTCACTTGTTACTGCAGATCTTACTTCTAACCAGTAACACACTGATTGTTCACAAATGTTTTGTCTCAAATGCAGAATAACATAAATAATAAAAGTCTCTTTGACCATTTATTTTTAGTTGATAAAGTATAGGAATAGTGAATGCACTATTTACTAGTATGCTTTTGTGATAATATTTCTACAAGAGGTTTGAATCATGTATTTCTGGACTGTAAAATTAACAAAAGCTCTATAGATCAATTGTATTACAATCTACAACAAGAACAAGTGTGTTTTCCAAACAGTAGAGTATTTACTAAGATGAGAATAAAACTTACTGATTGACCTTTTAGAAGAAACAAACATTATCATTTAAATGATAATTTTAAAAACATTAAAAAAGACAAAACTCTTGAAAGAGTTAAATGTAGAGTACCAAACATATTAAGATAGGACATCTGAGGTGAATAGGGCATGTAATGCGGATGGAACAAAATGACCCAGCCATAAAAATGCTCCTTGATAGACCCTTTGGACAGAGAAGAAGAAGAAGACAGAGAACAGGGTTCCTTGAAAACATCAATGAAATGAGAAATACAGGAATACAAGCTTGGTGGAGGAAAGCGATGGATAGGGACAACTGGAGAGAAATTCTTGAGAAGGCTAGGACCCACGCAAGGTTGTAAATCCAGAATGATGATGATATAGATTTAACATAACTACTAGATCATGGTAGAACATAGCAAATAAAAGCCTGTAGCTGAAGGACCTGCTTCCAAGCTATTTTCACTCTCTCTCTATCTATCTCTCTCTCTCACACAAACACGCACATTGTGTAATAATACAATTCAATTATTTTTATATTATACTTTTCACATTTAAATCACTTCACTGTACTTATTCAAATTATTCACTGTACCTACTTGCTGTATATTAACTATAATATTTTCTATGTTTTTTTGTTGCAGCTAAAACACCAGAATGACAATGCAGAATTATTCAACATTACAAGACACAGCTCATGATCAAGATGAACAAGGCATAGTTTTTCATGTTGCTGAACCTACCAGATCAAAATGGAATCACATAGAAGATCTCGATTCATTTTTTACTAGAATGTACAAGTATCATCAGCGGCATGGTTTCATGTGTATAATGTTAGAGGAACTCTCTGGACTAGGAAAATTCATTTTTGTTGTCACATTAACAGTCTACCTCTTCCACGGAATTAACTATTCAGTTTTATTCGGATGGGAAGAAGTCCGAAACCATACAAAAGTGACTCTAGATGAAATTATTTATCCTGTGGGCCAAACCGTTGGTAATTTTAGTTATTTCACTTGGTTTCTAGTTATTATTGCAATAGCTTTTTTACTTTTTATGCTTGTATTGAGATTTTACCAAACTTTCCATTTTTGGGACATTAAACAATTTTACAACACTGCCTTAAAAGTAAACGACGATGAACTAGATAATTTAACTTGGTGTGATATAATTGCAAAAATTAAAGATGTACAAATAGAGCAGCAAATGTGTATCCACAAAAGAGAGCTCACAGAGTTAGATATTTATCATAGGATATTGAGACAAGAAAACTATATGGTAGCTATGGTCAATAAACATTTGTTGCCACCAAGACTGAATATACCTTTTGTGGGCGAAGTAGTTTTTTGGACTAAAACATTAAGGTAAGATTTATATTTTGTAATCAATTAAAAAATATTTCACTAATTTTTAATTCATCAAGGAACACTAAATACATTGTTATGCTATTATAATATATACCAAGAGTGTAAGTTTTCACAGCTGGCGTTTTTTTAATGATCCATTGGTTTCTAGTATTATAGACCATACTTGCTTCTTTATGGCATTCCTTTTGATGGATTTGACTTTGATTATAAAATGGTTTACAGTAGATTAAAATAATAAGATAAAAACATACATTACAAACATTAAAATATTGTCTACAAGCAAAAGATTATTAATAAAATTTAAATCATCACTCTCTTTGCCTTTATCCCTAAGTTATGTCAGCTTCCTACATTTATCTATGAATTTAATTAAAAATCCTTTGTAAAAGGTATATTTTAGGCCCAAACGGGCTAGGTTAAAAAGACAAAACGTTTTCGGAAACCATGTTCCATCATCAGTGTCTAGGAGTACATGAATGAAGCCACCAAGATTAAATATGTGGGTAAAAACCCGATTACATATGTTTAATTACATTTAGTTTTAAATTAATGTTGAAATGATATAAGATTACAGAGTTACCGATGGATTTGGTAACATGGCGACATATGACTCCACGTTGAAGTTGCTAGTCCTGAGACGGTATGTCTTCGAGGACTATATGAGTGCAACTCAGTTGCACTCATATAGTCCTCGAAGACATACCGTCTCAGGACTAGCAACTTCAACGTGGAGTCATATGTCGCCATGTTACCAAATCCATCGGTAACTCTGTAATCTTATATCATTTCAACATTAATTTAAAACTAAATGTAATTAAACATATGTAATCGGGTTTTTACCCACATATTTAATCTTGGTGGCTTCATTCATGTACTCCTAGACACTGATGATGGAACATGGTTTCCGAAAACGTTTTGTCTTTTTAACCTAGCCCGTTTGGGCCTAAAATATACCTTTTACAAAGGATTTTTAATTAAATTTTTAATACATGGTATACAGCCAACTACAGGAACGTAGATTCCTTGTGGAATTTATCTATGAGTTCCTTTACTTTTGGTATTACTAGGTGATGGTCTGATTTGCATTCCGATCTATAGTATACCCGTCATGTATGTAGTCTTTAATTGAGTCATTGACTAGACGTTGAGACCTAAACTACATTATCAGACCTATAATGTTATCTTGGTTTCTAATATTTTAATTAATTTTATGTGTGCTGGATAATATGCATAACCAAACTTCATTCTATCCATAGTGGTTAGTTATACTTTTAAAATCATAGTTGTATTTATTGTACCTCAAGATTTTTTAAAAACATACTATTTCCACAAGCAGTTCCATTTCCTCATTATTTTTTGTTTGGATATATTTATATGTTCTTCCATTGATAACTCACAAATTATATTCTCCCATTTGTATACTTTCTTTGGCAATTTTATCTGCAAGTTGTTTGTTATCCCCATGTGTGTTTTGACCTACAACGATTTTATATTTTTATTTTGATCTTATAAATTTTTTAGAATTGTTTGGATATAAAAAATAGTATGATTGGATTATATTTGATTTGGATATTAAATTTTTAAGGACTGGCAGTGAATCAGAAATGATAACTGCATTCTGGTAATCTTTTTGTTGTAAATATTCTAGTGCTTTTTGAATTGCTGAGTGTTGATGTAGCTTATATTTTATTTATTTATTTATTTATTAATGGTATCCATTTACAAAAGTTTTAACAAAGCTACACTTACTTAACAATAAATTTTTAAAATATCAAATATCTCAGAATACTTAACTATAACAAACTTTAACACAGCTACTAAGGGGTAGACTAGGATTGACATGTAAAAGAGATCAGTTATATAATATACCTTTTAGTTGTTTTATTAAATAAACTCATTTTGGAGTCAACAATATTTATTGGCAGGCTATTACCACTCCAGACCAATCGTATAGTTGGTTCATTGATACCATAATTACTGTGGCGAACTAGCACTGAAAAGAATTCCGATTATCAGTTGTTTCTACTATATACTTTTACTTTAAGACTAACGAGTTATAACAATTGAGGACAATCTATAATAGCATTAATGACTTTGTACAGGAAACATAAATCTTACAATGTTCTCCTTGACTCAAGTGTTGGGAAATCAACACTGTCTCTTACTCACTGGTAGTCATATTCCTCTCTCCGGTATCCATTCTTAAAACTGACATCTTCAAAAATTTATTTTGGACCATTTCAATATGTTCAATGTAACACTTATATGATGGGTACAATACAACTGATCCAAATACCGTTTCAGACAGTCTGCATATTTCAGGCTGATTTCTTAAAGCCACAAAACGTTCATAATCATCTTGCTGATAACTAATTTTAAATTGTTTGTGGGCCAGTTTCTTTTTACATGTAATTAGGTTACGCAACTCTGAGGAGAACCAAGAGGGGAAAGTTGAGGTTTTATATATATTTAGTGGAACAACACATTCTATCAGTGAGTATATTATATCATAAAAAATGACCACCATACTATCAACTGTCCCATTACGAAACAGTCCCTTCCAATTTATAATTGCTACATAATTAATTTATTGAAAAGTAGTCACTATTTTTGAAATCATAAGAATATTCCTCGTAATTCATAAAATGATAGTTTTCTTCACAGAAAAGTTCAATACTGACGGCTGTGTGATTTAAGTTATTCCCAAAAATTTTGCCGGAGTTGCATTAATAAATTTCAAATCACTAAAAATCAGGTCCAATGGGACTCACCTGCTGTTCAAAATCTCATTCTTTTGAAAAAAGTTATGGAATCCAGCCAGTATTGAAATCAATTTATCATTATCCAATATGGCTTGTAATCACCTGACAAGACTATCTGAAAAATTACTGTAAGCATATTCAACAGTTTCACAATGTCTTAAATAAGACTGAGAAGGTGATGGAGAAGGTATACAGATTGAACGAAATAAATTCGGAACATACGAAATATTATGTATTTCAGCTCAATTCTGCTGTAGATGGTTGGCCAACAAAAGGTTGTCATATAATTATATTATAAAAATTCAATACTTCAGCGGGCTGCTGGATTCTGAACTAATTCGAGAACTCATTCTTAGGTGGTCAAACCATCTATCGCTTCCTAAAGCCGGCCACTCACGGTACAGTGGTGTCGTTCGACATAATCGGACAGAGGCAAACAATCATTTTAGCATCTCTTACTTTGTGTATAACTAAGCGTAAAAAGAAACCTAAAATAAAACGTAGATTCTGGTGCAAAGAATCCAAGATTTTGGTGCAAAATAAATCTCGTCTGCCCCTGCACCCGATTTACTGGACTGCACTGCTAATTTTAATTCTCTTTTATAGGATGTTCTAAAATTGATAATTTTTTTTTTCTTACATACTCTTCATTCGCATCTTTGTTTACTTCTTGGAACTTTAAAACTAGAATGTCCATTGCCTGTTTTCGGGCGTTTCTATCGTGATACGTTTTACCTTTTATTCGCTATAAGCATTCTTGTTTTTTACATAATTTAAAAAATTCTCGCTAAATCAAGCCATTTCGATTTTCTATAATATGATCAAAGCAAATGTGTAATTAAAAACGCAGTTGAACAACGCCGCTGTATCGTGAGTGGCCGCCTTTAGGCAAGCCCCTCTTTCGTTTATCGGAGATGGAGATTTTGAGCGGTGTTAATAACTACAAACTTCTGAAATAACTGCAAACCATTAAGTTTATTTTTGTTATTAGTCTGTTGTAGTAGATTGGTAAATACAATGAAAAATATAGGCAAATATCCGATTTATTTATAGATACGAAGAAGATATAACTCTCAAAAAGATCCGCAAATCGGATTATTACACGGCGATTGGCAACATTGACTTTGAGCTGCGCTCTAGACTATGCTGGGTTCTAAAAAGAGAAGGATAGTTGAACGATATTTTATACAATCTCTAACACCGGGCATGGATTTATTTTTGTCCCAAGTTTTATATTGGTCCACTATTTCAAATGCAGTTCATACAGACATATATTAAATTTTATGATCCGTTTTACATTCCTTTAATCTGTATGTACACAGCCAATAACAAAATTTTGAGTTTTTATTTTAAATGTTAGCTATAACTGATATGTGTCAGTGTCAACTTGAGGAACTATGATTTTGTGGGTAGAAAGATTATTTTTAGCTGCGATTAGTATTCCCTCCACGCGCGTGGACGGGGTGTACTAATCGCAGGGGGTTTAGAGTGTTTTTTGTATATGTTTGGATAATATGAAGGTGCAATTAGTGCTTTTACATAGTAAAATTGATTTAGTCATTATTTTTTAGGTACAACGTACAAGGCTTGTTATTCAGAACTCCATTCGAAAGCCCTTGGCAGCTACGAGAGGAGTACAAAAAGTATCACATGCGACAGAAGTTAGCAGATGAACTACAGGTACACATTCGTTGGTTGTTTTTGATAAATCTGATGCTCGCGCCAGTTGTCTTTTTGTGGCTGGTTCTATACACTTTTTACAGCTATGGAGAACTAATAAAACGTGAACCTGGTCGGATGGGTATGAGAAATTGGTCACTCTATTCCAAATTGTATTTTAGGCACTTTAATGAACTAGATCATGAGCTTCATGCCAGGTTGACCAGATCGTACCGTCCAGCTTCGAAATATCTGGAGGCTTTCAGTAGTCCTATCACCGCAATAATAGCCAGATATGTAGGATTTATTTGCGGTTCATTGTTTATTGTTTTAATAGCACTAGCATTGTATGATGAAGATGTACTTGCTGTAGAACATGTTTTATCTGTAATGACAGGATTGGGAGGTATTACGGCTATCTGCAGATCTTTGATTCCTGATGAAACGATAGTTTGGTGTCCTGAACAACTATTGGAATGCGTAGTGGCGCATACGCATTATTTACCATCAGATTGGAAAGGACAGGCTCACACATCGCGGGTAAGAAAAAGTTTTCAGGAACTATTCCAAATGAGTGTCGTTGCGATATTCGAAAATCTTATATCACCCATAATGACGCCTTTAATACTGATGACTTGGATGTATCCACGATCTTTGGAGTTTGTGGACTTCTTTAGAAATTTTACAGTATCTGTGGTTGGTGTTGGAGACGTTTGTAGTTTTGCCGAGATGGATGTTAAGAAGCACGGCAATCCATTATGGCAAGTCGATCCTCATTTCTATCCTTCATCAGTGAGTGCAGACGCCGATCAATATTTGCAAGGAGAGGATGGCAAAGTTGAATTATCGCTAATCCATTTCACTACGACTAATCCCGCGTGGGTTCCTCCGCCAGATGCACAAGACTTTATCGATTCTGTACAAGAAGAGGCTGGTCCCAATCTATTCGATTCCGACTTGGAGTTCTACCCTACACAAGTACATTTCGACGAACAGTTACCTAGAAAGTCTGTAATGCGAACTAGATCTCTATTCCGAGGCGACAGAGAAGTACCGAGTACAACAGATGTGGCTTATCAACAAACAGCAAACCAAGACATCAAAAGCCGAACAGAAAAGTCAGTCGTATGGTTCGACAGCGAAACCAGTGCTGCTCCTAGTTTACGAAAATCTGTAACTTGGCTAGAAGGACCTGACTTGGCGGCTTCTCTTAATATGAGAAAAAGTGCCATAGCTCTGCATTCGCGACGGACAAGAAATATAAGATCTTATGAAGAAACTACACCTTTGTTGTCAGCCACTAGGCGCCCTAGTCGATGAGTAATTTAAGCATTGTACATATGAAATTTTCGTAAATAAATATTATTTATTGCCCACTGGCATGCCATTTAATTAAACCAGCGCTGGACAAAGTTTTAAAATAATTTTTTTATGTACAATATTTAATTTTATCTGTCTGGTATATCTGTAAATTATGCGCTAATACCGATACTATAGATCTACTAATTTGTAGCGGTTATATTGCCTATAAGGCATGAGGATGAGAACATAACTGCGGATATGGTCAACATCGTGAAGGGCCGTAAGCTGCAGAACTTGGGACATATAATGAGAAATCAAGCAGATACGAGCTATTTCAATACATTTTACAAGGTAAAATTGAAGGAAAAATGGCCCCAAGACGAAGAAGAATATCCTGGCTTGCTAACCTGAGAGCATGGTATAGAAGGACCTCAACACAGCTATTTCGTATAGCAACCAACAAAGTCATCATAGCCAGAATGATCGCCAATGTTCGGAACAGACAGGCACCCTAAGATATTGCCTACCATATATCGTTTTACTTATAGGAGGATGAAAATTGGGGACAGAAATTACTGGGCTCGTAACTGGGCAAGCAAAAAAACCGGAACGTTTGCGAACGGCTACTCTTGGTTTGTTTGAAGAGCTGGGTCGTGGGTAACTGAATAAAAAGGGGACTGGAATGGAGTAACTACAAAAAGTGAATCAAAAGGGTACTTACATGGATTTCCTGGACAAAACAACACAAGAAGGTTCCTAAGCTATTTAAAATGGACGCCGCTAAAAGAGTCTTCCTACTTGGTGAAAAGATAGACTTTTCTTTCCTGATTTCATTGAATATATCTCCTTTAAAAGTTCTAGGTTTGGAACTGGACTCAAAAACAGTGCAAACAAGACAAAAGCGTTTCACAAGCCGCAAAATAGTCTGGAATGACCAAGGACAAACAAAATGAGGATGGAAGTTGAACACTGGATTATGGAATCTTCAAAGCTTGGCTTTTAAATTACTCAAACTCCTCTCAGAATTTGCCCAGAAGACTAATAAATTGTTCTGTTTGTGTCGTAGACATGTATATTAACAGAGACTGAGCAGTCTGTAGAAGTAAATATTGAAATGACTCGAGGTCTCTTAAGTCATTCAGACTCTTTTATCTGAGTTTTTTAAAATATTCGTGTTTCCCATAACTAGACAGATAAAACTAAATACGAAATAATATACGCTCTCATGTAGGATAAACATGTAAGACATAAATTAAACATAATTATAAAGTTTTAACTCGATGTAAAATAGGAACCTTCAATATTGATAAATATCAAAAACTAAACTTTAAGTTACAAACAAGTGGTAGAAGGGAATAAATATATGAACTGCAACAAGTAGTTAGAAGAATCGTAACTGATTTTAATTTGGAACCCATACGTTAATTAAGGATTTTATTTTGTACAACAATTTAATTTTACTTTTTAATTGCCTGTAAACCATTTAGTTATTCAGCTGGTATTGTTTGTATGAGTTAAATTATTCGACCAGTATGTTTCAAAAACTGTTTACTTGCTGTATATTGGATCAGAATCTATTTGTTAAGGTATGATAATCATTCTTCGTTGCTATGGTAACGCAATATTTTTTATCGGTGGAACTTAATAACTAGATCCTCGTATAGCTATTCGCTCGGTGCGTGACCATGCTAGGGGTACCTTGAAACGATGCCAGCGTGCGTAGCGGCGAAATATGACAAAATTGGACCTATCTTTTTACGCATAAATTTTATCAAAAATGTGTGCAAATACATGTTGCGTATTTAATTGTGCTAATAATAGCAAAAATAGTGAGTGTAGATTTTATAGGTTCTTAAAGATTACACGTAAATTAGACAAAAGAAAAAGATGGATTAGTGCTATTAATATGAAAAAGTAAATATCACATAATTTTATTTTTATACAATTGAAATAGGAAAAATAATTTACTTTGAATGATATTTCATAAGGCTTCAAGCTAACTGCAGATCACTTTAGCTTTTATATTATAACTTTTACTATTATTGTTTTTAATTATAAGCTCTTTCGCGTGAAAAACTTGATTTGCCATTACTAGATTTTTCCCTTTCTTTTCCGTTTGGGGTTGAAAAGATATATTATGATGAATTTTGAGAAACCCGGTTTTTAATACTACATTTATTTTATACATAAACTGAAAAATATAGTTAAAAAACTAATTATTAATAATTGTCAATTTCGCATGTATTTAACAATATCAAACATATGTCATATGTTTAACCTGAAAATTGGGAGGTCCAAAACTGTCAGAAGAAGGCAGTAGGTGTCGAGTCAGTCACGCACGGACCGAATAGGCTTTTCCTAAATCAGTCATTCTTCTGTAGGTACTTATTAGATATATAAATGAAATGAGGTTGAATGCTCGAATAAATGGACTTTGAAAATAAGGCTATTATCGAGCACAAGTTAATTAAATCTAGCCCAAGTACTTTCGCTTAAAATAGCATCTTCAGGGGCATTTCGTCAAAATGTGAACTATCCGGCAAGCGTAGAATGTGGAAACATTAAAAATAACATAAAATTGTACAAAACACTACACTAAAACGAGGACAAACAGTTTAAAATTACTTCTACGCTACATTCTCTGTCAGTATCTGGAGGGATAATGATCTAAGCGGAAAAATGCTTTCCGCTTAGATCATTATCCATCCGACCAGCAGTAGATAAAGTAAAGATAGTGATGATATCTAACCTCCGATTGGGAGACGGCATTTAAAGAAGAAGAAGGTGTTTCAGAACGCTAAGTGCAAGATGTCATAGCTTAGACAAGGAAAAATGGGCTAAATCTGCATTCTTGTTTTGTAAAAAATGCTGACATCCTAGATATTTCTTGATATCGGTTTCATGAAAATTAGTCAAAAGAGCTTTTTGGTTCGGATCTTGTTATTGTATCATGTAATTCTCAATGTCGTGCTTTTTCACTGCCATTGTTTGAGAATTACTAGTTTTTTGCAATAGTAGCAGTAAAATCTGGGAAGGCATTTCGTATTAATCCATAGAAAATAACGATGTATCACTCTTTGTGGTGCTGTTCCCCTAATGGTTTATTAGGCACACTGGGTCTGAAGGTGACTGATTGACTAGATTACCGCAAAACTTAACAATACTTGGTTGGTTTCGTCACAGAATAGATAACAAACAGAATGGTCCCTCTCAGATGCCGCCTTTGAAGTTTGTCTGCACGCGAACGCCCTGTTTTAAATGGAAACTGACTCGAATTGAGAAATTTTTGACAAGCTACAACAGAACTGTACTTTAAATTTTTATAGATTAATAATTTAGTACATTTGAAATAATTTAATCTATTCTTCAACTAAAAGTACGAATAAAATAGTGCATATTATGTCTAGTTGCCGTAAATAATTTAAACCGGTTTAATTTGTCTTTAATTTTTTCAAGTAGAGTGGGCATTCTGATTGTTTATTATTCTGTGGTTTCGTGATTACAGGCCCAATACACTAAAACCTCTAGTATATATAAACTTTTTATAATGTTGTATACATAGAATTTGTTTAATGAATTATTTTACATATTTTTAGTTTTTTTTTTCAAATTTATATTAAGTATAATTAGTAAAACTTATTTTCACAAAAAAATGTAAAAATATTACACAAGTTGTCAAAGTTGACGGTTTGTTGTATTCATTAGTTAATAGTGGAATCCTTATGAAACCGGTTGAGTAATTATATATTATACTTTTACCTATTGCTACGAGTATACTGAACTTTGATTTTTATATTACTTTATTTAGAAATTCTTAAATTTATTTTAGAAACGGCTACTTTTAAAAGCTAAAACTAATAAACTTGAAATAATAATGCGCTATATTATTTTGTCCAGCTAATGGTGGTACACTTTTGTTTTGTAAATTAAGAATGGATTTATTTTTGTTTCGAGATCGATCTGAATAAAAAGGCGAAACTTGATGTTAATATTGGCTGTTATATTTATATTTAAGGTAGGAATAAATATTTAAGAAAATAATGTGTTTTTAAAATTTATTTTACCAAATACCTCTGTGCAACAGCATTTTATATCATCCAAGTCATTCAAGATTTTTCCATAACTTCAGAAAAGTGATCAAAATGATAGATATTATCTGCATCGCATTGTACTGCATTCCTTTATACTAGAAACTTGCACATTGTTGGGAAGGGAACAACGAGTAATTTAAATAGTTGAAGTTGATTTTTTTTTTAATTATTATTCTCATTGCTTCAATCGCTTTTCTTTATAAGTGGATACTATTGTCAAAAACGAAAGATATACAACAAATAACTAATGAAGAACAATATGAAAACCTAAATACTCTTGACAGCAGGAGAAGCCATTGAAAGGAGAAATGACCAGATACATTATAAAAACAAAAAAGCATATTGGTGGACAGCAAAGATAGATGACCAAATAAAAAGAAGACTGCTTACCAAAAGTGGCCGATGATCACAGCAGACCAAGAATACAGAAGACAAACTTATGAAGTAAAAAGCAGAAAAAAATCGATTTTGGCAAAAAAATGTAAAGATATAGATAGTTTAATGGAAAGTTTGAATCAGAAAATCTGAGCAGAGTGATTTCCAACTGTAACAACCGTTTGGCTATCTCTATATATTGCTTTAATGACATTTATACACACACAATTCCTACATGCGCTTTTCATTGTTATCCATAGTTTCTGCAAAGGGAATGAGTCTAATACCTTATAAAGATTACAAATGTGGGATGAACCCCCGTTCCTCTTCCTAATCCATTTTCTGCCAATTGTTTTGTAAATATATTATTCACACAGGATCATCCAGTCGAAATCTGCTTTGTCCCTCTATTTCAGTGGCTTTATCTATTCGGACTGTTTTTATGGACAGTGTAACCCTAACACTAATGATTACTGCATTCTTACTTATTTCCTTTTCTATAAATGGAACTTATTTAAGAGCTTCTCCAATCTCTTGGAATTGTTTTCGCTTCCAGGCACTTGTAAAAAATTACACAAAAAAGATATAAATAACACTACCAATTATTTAAAAAACTATTTTATTAGGAGGAATAAAACATAGTTTATTTATTTATCTATTAATGTCCCACGCACTTTTTTAATGTCATTTATTTTATTCTGTTCTTGTTTTCGTTTAGTCATACCCTTTCTTTCCAGTTGTTTTTCAATAATACGAGCATTGTTTGCATAACTGTCTGCCACTTCTCTCTAAAAAGTAAAGAAGTAAATGTAAGTAGTTTTACAATTATAACAAAATCCAACACCACATTGCTGTTTTTGGGCAAATTATCTGGACAGACAAATTTTCAAGCCCCAAAATTTAATAATGAAAATAATCCTACATTTTTCAGCTAAGGAATTTGAATAAAAATAACTTACAGCTTCTATCTCATCTTCTTCCTCATCAATAGTTGACACTGTGACTGAACTGAATTTACCCATATTTTTAGTATGTTTTGTGACCATGATCTTCTTTGGTTTTTCTATAGCTACTTGATTGTATATATTGTTGATTGGCCCTTCATTTGTACTTTTTATCACAGATCCTTTGACTATAAAACTAATAGGGCTCTGTGGTTCATGTTTGTAATATAAAAGAAGACCACACTTCTTACACTTCATTCTGTACTGTCTTTCTATTCCTTCGGGGCGTTTTAAATAGACTGTTTCATCTGGATTGCAAGTCATTTTGTGGGCGTGATTAGTGCCATCTAAGACTCTGGCAGCATCTCTCTTTCTTAATGGTAATTTTTCTATTGAACAATCTACGAAGTTAAATGTTATATTAAGTTTTCTGTAGATATAGCACAGTTCTTTAAATGTGCCTTACTTGTTTGCATTAAAAGTAATAAAAAAGATGAACTTGAGCAGAAACAACAAGAATCTAGACAATATAAAACATTTAGAGATTAATTAATATAGAGAAGCTATATTATGAACGTCAGACTTCAGAGAATGGCCAGTATCAAAAGATAAATATGAAATTAGAAAATTACTCTGAGTGTATCCATATCACGTATTACTGACATTTTATCAAAGAGTTTGCTAATATTGCTAAGCTCTTACAAAACTGACAGAAAAGGGCAAAGTCTTAGAAGGACTTTCAAAAGCTATTATGCACTGATATTAAATTATCCATGATAAGGGGGAAATTTCATAAATTTTGGTAAGGATGCCAAAAACACTATCATAGGAGCAGTTCTTTCTCAGAAACTAGTAAGAAACTATTATGTTACTAGAAGGGAGATTCTAGACTGGTAAACGTTTTTACAAGATGGCTGGAATATTTTATTTACAGCCGTTTTCAAAAAAAATTATAAAATGTGCCAAAGGGGAATTATCTCTACTAAATTAAATGTGACAATAAAATAATCTGGAAGTTTTCCAGTCCTTAGTATTAGAGGGGAATAGTAGTTAACTTGATGATAATCCAAAAATGTCAAAAATTTGAGACTTTTACACATACAAATTAGGAAAACACAAAGAAAAGAATGTGCAAATGGGTAATAAAATAAATGGAAACTAGACTTTCACTGTCTAGGAATGAAAAATACAAAAATAGAGCAAAGTTGGTGGGACCACAATTTGTAAAACATTTAGATATAAAGTTATATAACGTATTCAAGTTATTGCAATATATAGACCATTAACTAACAAAGATTTACCAAGAATTAATGTCATCTGTCCACATAAACAGTAATAAATGTGTAGTGGTTTTTCATCACCATACTCTTCTTGGTCTTTAGTATCAGAACATGCAATACTTCTGGAAACTACTTTGGGCATTTTAAATTATATATTATTTTGATATCCAAAATAACTATTTAATATCAATGTTTTCAGTTTTTGTTTATACTGTTGTGTGACACTTTTTGTTATAACCTCACATTTCTATATATATGTCAAAAATCATAAAATTGTTAATTTATTTTTATTGACAGTCATCTGTGTGACACTAGAGAAAACACGGAAGTAAGGTTAGGTAATTTAATTATTGACGTGATTTGTTTATTTATGTTACTGTAAATGATGTGTTAATACAGTCTACAGTGTTCAGGTAATTTAGGCCATGAAATAACCAGTTATTTTTCAAAATGGCCTTAAAGAATTTGGCCGAAGATTATTTTAAAAATTTAAATTCTATTTCCTCAAGACTCCATCATGATTTGGAAGAAGTTAAATCCTCATACGAAAGTCTATGGAGTACTATTCCAGAAAAAGAGCAGCAAGCTATTTTGACTGAGAGCATTATTAAACCTGAGATAAGTATTAAATATCTCAGACCGTCTGAACATACCAAAAATAGTTATGCTGTTAAGATGATATTTGATGAAAATTGCTCATACAGAGATGAACATTCAGGTCCATTTAGTTTTAAAACTCAAAGCCAAAGAGACCTTAGTATTTTTAGTAAAGAAAGAGGAAGTGCTTGTACAGACTATAAGACGAAACTTCCTACTAAACAAGCAATAGTCAAAACCAAGGTAAGTTAAATCAAATTTAAGTAATCCATTATATCTGCTTGGTAATATAAATTAAAAGAATCTTGAATTGTATCTATTTCAGTACTTGATAAATACTCACGATTAAAATGGGGAGACTAAGGGTTAAGGTATCCTGTTTTTATATTGCCAAATATTTATAAATGTACAAATGTTACAAATATATAAATGTATAATCTAAAGCTTGGTTTTATTTGTAATATTTCAGCCAATCATAATGTACAATGATCTGGACAATGGCCATGAATCAGATGATTCAGGTAACCAAACATCAAGCTCCCTTCCGAAAACAGGACTGGATTTCTTGGACAATTGGTAAAAGTAGATATGCAATAACACTGACAAAAAATTTTTGTGATTTGCTTTAGTATAAAAACATTGGCACATAATTTGTTTATTAACATATTTTTCATATATAAAAAAGTATTATGCTCCTTATTTCAAATAAATTGTGATCTTTTCTTAATATCCCCCTAAAATAAAAATATTAATATCAAAATGATATATAGCTGTGTTCGGAACATCTGTATATTAATCTTTTTGTCATTTCTGGTTGGGGTTCTCCTCATCTAACATTTATTTTACTTATTATTAACATGGTTTCTATTTGATAGATCAACACTTACAAACTTAGGTGTTTTTACTTAATAGTAATAGTCACTTACAGTGACTGTGTGAACGCATTTGAGGTTGATCATGGCTTATTACTTGAAATATTTCATGGTGTTTGTCTTTCAAATTCACAGATTTGGAGATTACACCCTTTAGTAAAGATACTAAATATTACAGATTAATAGCAATTCCATTTTGCAAATCTCGAATAAATATTGATTTTAACAAGCTTTCACACACTCAATTAGGTTGAGACAAGATTCGCAGCAGCCTTTATCATTATTATTTGCAATAAGGAAAAGTTTGGCAACCTGTATATATGATATATGAATTAAGTATAGCTCCTCCAAACAAATTGTGTGCCAGTTAATGCAATTGTTATGGCAGTTCTGATTATGTTACTCCCTAGACCTAAACTGTTTATTTATACTAACACTGATTTGTTGCCTATTTTATTTAGAAAGCATTATTTATCAGTTGGATTATTATTGATACTTTAATAATAGAAGTACACTTGATTGTATTTCATAGTAATGCTGTCTAGTACTTGGTTCTTTTGTAATTAATGTAAGTAACAACTAATGTCAATTATATCCCAAAAATAAATGAACACATGTTAACGAAAATAAATGAATGTCATATTTGAACACATGTTAACGATTTCACAATCATTACTTAAAAGGCGTTGATGTACAAGTGCATCGTGTACATTTAATATTATATTTTTCTCTCTTAGACATAAGGCACCTTTAAAACTACACTTAACCGGGATAAAACCTGTTGTCGACGTCATTTTTAAATGCAAATAACAAAATATCGACACCAAAAACGTAGATAGGTAAGACATGAACAATGTACATCTACAAACTAAGTGGAAGATACAAACAATTTCTAATTTATATTCATTCACGATTATTCACGTTCCGACTTGCGGTCCCACTTAGTAGGACTACTAGTTGGATATTTGTCTCCACTCACGCTCCTACTTGCTATCCAACTAGCGATCCAATTACCCACATAATGTAAGTCGACCCAATGTGACGCTTTTTCTAATTATTTTCTTCTGTGCCATATTCAGTTTTTGGTAAATTATAAATAAACTCATATATCTTATACACTCTAGCTATTGTATATCTGGTTAATTATTCCGGTTAAGTGAGTGTAAAATTACAAAACAGACAGTTTAGCTCATAGGTAGTATCTTTGGTTTGTGGGCAATTATATTATTAGTGGAATAATGTTCGGTTTCATCAAGCACCGTTAATTGCATTATTAACTATCAGACCGTTAATATTAACAACTACTAACATAAGACAATCAACTGCAACAAATTTCTTTTGTACTATTTTGTTTATTCACTAATTACATCATATTAGAATAATGGTAGAATAAAAAATCCAAAAGCAATTTATCTTAAATAACGTTTGGTAATTAGGCATTTGATGTTTTACATTCTTACTATTTAACTTGGGAGGATTCACTTTTAGCGCGTTCACTTGCGCGTAAAGAAATTTTCAAACGCGAACTAGCGCGTTGCATACTGAAGTCTGGTATGTGTTGCATTTATATGTTTGGTAAATATGTGTGGTCGACTATTCGTCGACTTCAAGGCCGCATACGACAGTGTCAAGAGAACAGTGCTATACCAATCAATGCATGAGTTTGGTATACCAGAGACTTATCCGACTAACGAGAATGACAATGTCTAACTTAGAAGCCACTGTTAGAATACAGGGAGAGAGTTCTAGATCATTTGAGATAAAGGATGGACTCAGACAAGGAGATGCTCTGGCTTGCCTCCTATTTAATATTGCCTTAGAAAAGGCAGTCCGAGATACACGAATTAGGGATGGCGGTACTATTTACAATAGATCGATACAAGTCTTAGCATATGCTGATGACATTGACATAGTAGGGCGTAGCAAGCGAGATGTTGAGCAATATCTCCTAGAATTGGAAACAGCGGCGAAACAGGTCGGTCTAGTCATCAACGAAGACAAAACCAAGTATATGTTGGTTACAAAGGATCCGATAGCAAATGAAAAACGAGAAACAGTCTTTGGAAGTCATACCTTTGGACGTGTTGACAACTTCACATACCTTGGGTCGCTATTGACTGCTACCAATAAAACAGGCGAAGAAATCAAAAGACGAATAAATCTTACAAATAGGGCATACTATGGACTCCAAAAGCATTTCCACTCAAGAAACATTCAAAGAAGAACTAAAATTATTATATACAAAACATTGCTGAGGCCGGTCCTCACATAATGGAGCAGAAACATGGACTCTAACGCAGAAAGATGAAAGACTTTTGGGAATATTTGAGCGTAAAATACTCCGTAAAATACTTGAGCTGTAAACGACCAAGGGCAGTGGCGCAGAAGATATAATTTTGAATTGTATCAGCTCTTTGATGAGCCAGATGTCATAACGTTCATTAAAACACAGCGACTTAGATGGGCTGGACACATAATACGAATGCCAGAAAATACCATTGCTAAAAAGCTAACCACAGGAACACCTGTAGGAAAAAGAAGCAAAGGCCGACCGCGAATTAGGTGGTTAGATGGAGTAGAAACCGACTTACGAATATTAAAAATCAGAAGATGGCAACATGTTGCCAAAAACCGAACAGAATGGCGACGAATCTTAGAGCAGGCCAAGATCCACAGAGGATTGTCGAGCCAAAGATGATGAAATATGTGTGGTGTTTTTCTAGGACAAAATCGGAATCTTGACTCCTTAACGCGATATTTACAGCTTGATGGTCTTTAACTTTGTTGAGTATCATTTCTCGAATCCACTTCTACAATTGATAATTGATTTTTTGTCGAAATTAAATGACAAAGTTGAAGTACACGCACACTTTAGAAGATGTGCCTGTGTAAATTGCTTTGACAAAGTAGAAATAAAGTTGAAAATAGGTAAATAAATAATTATTATTATTTCTTTTGGTAAGAGAAAGTATTATTTCTTTACCTATTTGAAATGGAGTCACACAAGCAACACATTCATGAAAAAAAAAGTTGAAAATATTGAATATAATCTTTAAAATATACTCTAAAATTAATAATTATATATTCAAATATTGTGACGCAAAATTACTTTAACAAGGGTAAAGCAGATTTCCAGACCTGATATACCGAGAAATGAAGACAGCTAACTCCTATCATTGCTCATAATGTAGCATCCTGAAGAATTATTTTAAACTATTTGTTCTTTTGTCTGGTATTTTTTATTTGTATAAATGTATTTAAATGTTTATGACATTCCTGGATGTACTGGATAGCCTATTTTGAAGTAAAAGTACTTGAGCACGATTTAATAAAAGAACTTTGTTCGATGTCTGTCGTTTATTTGTGAAATTCTTATATGATACACAAAGAAAAAAGACTTACATCATGTATTTGTGCAGCTCTGAGTGAGGATGTATGTGGATCTTTAACGAAACTCTGCATTCAATCTAGAGCTCTTGGTTGGTCTACCTATTCGAATGCCTTCTTTTACTCGTCCAGTGTCGTCCAAACGCTTTACAATTTTTTGTGCCATCGCCTTATCGATAGTGTCAATCTGGTTGCGAGGCTGTACATTGTTTCTTTGAGCAGTTTTTGTTTTTTATGATTAATAGGTTGCTAACCTTACCAATCACCCTTCACATCTAATCCGGGCTTGGAACCGGCTGTAGTAACCGCAGAGCCCTCAATCCACCACGAAATCACCCCAGGCAGTCTTCACAAGGTTTAAGGTCGCAAAGTAAGAAAGGTACCGACGCTAT